GCGTCGGTGATACAGGTGTGTCTGTTGAGTGTCGGTGACACAGGTGTGTCTGTGTTAAGTGTCAGTGTTACAGGTGTGTCTGTGTTGAGTGTCAGTGATACAGGTGTGTCTGTTGAGTGTCGGTGATACAGGTGTGTCTGTGTTAAGTGTCAGTGATACAGGTGTGTCTGTGTTGAGCGTCGGTGATACAGGTGTGTGTGTTGAGTGTCGGTGATACAAGTGTGTCTGTGTTGAGTGTCAGTGATACAGGTGTGTCTGTGTTGAGTGTCAGTGATACAGGTGTGTCTGTGTTGAGTGTCAGTGATGCAGGTGTATCTAAGTTGAGTGTCAGTGTTACAGGTGTGTCTGTGTTGAGCGTCGGTGTTACAGGTGTGTCTGTGTTGAGTGTCAGTGATACAGGTGTGTCTGTGTTGAGTGTCAGTGATACAGGTGTGTCTGTGTTGAGTGTCAGTGATACAGGTGTGTCTGTGTTGAGTGTCGGGGTTACAGGTGTGTCTGTGTTGAGTGTCAGTGATACAGGTGTGTCTGTGTTGAGCGTCAGTGATACAGGTGTGTCTGTGTTGAGTGTCGGTGATACAGGTGTGTCTGTGTTGAGCCTCGGTGATGCAGGTGTGTCTGTGTTGAGTGTCAGTGATACAGGTGTGTCTGTTTAGTGTCGGTGATACTGGTGTGTCTGTGTTAAGTGTCAGTGATACAGGTGTGTCTGTGTTGAGTGTCAGTGATACAGGTGTGTCTGTGTTGAGCGTCGGTGACACAGGTGTGTCTGTTTAGTGTCGGTGATACAGGTGTGTCTGTGTTAAGTGTCAGTGATACAGGTGTGTCTGTGTTGAGCGTCGGTGATACAGGTGTGTCTGCTGAGTGTCGGGGCTACAGGTGTGTCTGTGGTAAGCTACAATGCAATATGTATTGTGTCCAGGCTGAGATTAAAATCTGTTCAGCATGTAGCTACAGTGCAGTTATTGTGGATGCTATTATTGCAACAGACCTTCGTTCAGAGCACACATCCTGTTTAGATGAAATAGTTACAAGACAGCACAGAGCACGTATATGAATAGTTGTATTTGTGCAGTTGTGGACGCCGAACCGAACGACAAATTGCCATTCTATAATGCTAAACACATTGAATATGATAGCAACTAGTGTGTGTGCCCGATAGACGGAAATGTGCAGCACATGAGGCGACCTATCTTCCTCTCTTATTTGATGATAATTAACTTGCAAGAGTGGGAGATTTGTTTAGACATACCGCCACACAGGGCTTTGACATGAAAAGCTGCAAGATTAGATAAGTGCACCAACAAATCATGGAGGAATTTAAAGAGTTTTCTCTTGTCTTTCTCCCGAAGTTTCCAACTACCTGCAATGGAGGACGATTTAACGCTGACTTCAGCCCGTAGGTCATGCAGTAGTGGATATGTACACAGAAATATGAACTTGTTCAATTACCCTCTCGGTGATATGAAGTTCAAACTCTTATTCACATTCAGCGATAAAATTCCGCTGGTGTGATGCATTTGGTGTTTATGTATCACACGTTCCCATTTTCCGGTTTTGTGTTGTTGATCTCTGAACTGAACGCTCCGACTGCAAACATGTACTCCGTGGCAGCCCTTCACTCGGGCATTGCACAACTGCATTTTATATCCCCTGCAAGACCTATGTAACGACACATCCTAGTTATGGTGTCGCTAACATGGGATCCAACTTAAACCCGGTGACCATTTTCGGCCATTATTCAGTCGGCGTGCATCATTATGAATTTTGATATGCTTGACGTATTGGATAAGCAAAATAACACAGAGTACGTTTTCTGGTATACTTGGATTTTTGGACAAACGTTTGCCGTTCACTTACCCGCGCTTTTAGCTCGCCTTACTAAGGTCACGTTAACTTATGTCTCGGCTTATCTGGGGTCTGTTGTCTGTAACCAGTCTCTTGTTAGAGATTACCAGATGATTGAAGCTGCTGCTTGTTGTATTTGTTCCCATCAGTCATGACCGCTGAATTTGGCCAGAGGATCGATAAGTCTTGAATACGGCCCATATTGAACAAACTTTATGGATAACAACTTCTTTTAGTTCGTGAGTGCGACGTTTCGATACAGATTCTTGTACCGTTGTCAAGTAGTAATGGAACATAAAGAGGAGGGATGTGTATATATATTGATTGTAACAAAGAAAACAACATGATTAACACAATTGGCAAGGTAGTAAGCTGATAAAGCCAGTGAGTTGAGGTAAGGCGTGGAAGCCAGAGTACATCTCTCACAGTCACGAAATGAAAGTGACTGAGTATGGTTTTACGCCGCTTTTAGCAATATTCCAGCAATATCACGGCGGGGGACACCAGAAGTAGGCTTCACACATTGTACCCATGTGGGGAATCGAACCAGGGCCTTCGGCGTGACAAGCGAACGCTTTAACTATTAGGCTACCCCACCGCCCCCACGGAATTACCGATGTTATTATCCATAACGTTTGTTCAATATTGTACTTCCCAACTTCTTAAATGCCACTGAAAGAAGTTGAAAATGGCCGACACAGTAGCCATATTGGAAACGCTATCTGTGGCAATTTCTGTGCGAAATATTTGAAGGGTTGGCATGTGTATGAGTGGTTAGTGGTTAGTGGCAGGAGAGATTCTTCGACTTTCTCAGCAGTCGGACACATAGATACGTCAACATTAAATTTGCAGTAAGCGAATGCTGGAGCACGACTTAATGTGTCCATGGCCCAACACAAGAGCCTCAATACATGCTACATTGCACTTGTCGTCTCGGTTCCTGCTTGTATACACCGTTTGTGGGAATCGGCTCCTCGTGTAAATATTTATCTCACAGCTGTGAGTTTTTAAAATCATTTGGATCTTTTACTTCTTTAAGCAAACTAGTTGCGCTGCTAATGAGATTACATCAAATTTACGTAGTGTTGTTTACAGTGAAGCTTTTCTTCTACTGATAACTCTACGGAGAAAGTGCAGTGAAGCTTTTCTTTGCAGACACGTTCAGCGAATGTTCCATTTACGCGCAAAACATATGTAAATTTGATGCTTTGGAATCGACTACTGTTAGCCTTATTCTGTTTATGATAAGTGATCGCAAAATGCAACCATTCACAGTACACTACGGATTCCAGATCTCTTGTTTAATAGTAGAGTAAAAGGAGATGACAGGTGTCAAAAATATTCACCCAAGAGTCATATTTAGATGTACATAGGAGCGTCTTGTATAGAGCTCCACAGGAGAATTATGATACAGGCGTTACGTGGTTCAATTCAGGATATGGACACCTGCTCCATGCATCATCCTGTAACTGCTATTGTTCGGGAACTGTTTTGAATCGGCACTTGCTTGTCGTATTTTGAAGCGTGTTCGTAATAAGTAAACGTGTCCCTCCTAGATTGAAGCGTCTTCGTCCTAGATTGCAGTGTGTTTGTCCTAGATTGCATCGTGTTTGTCCTAAATAGATGTATGTTCGACAAGATAGAAGCGTGTTCGTCCTAGACTGAACTGTGTTCATCCAAGATTGAAGCCTGTCGTCCAAGAATGAAGTGTGTTCGTCCTAGATTGAAGCGTTTTCGTCCTAGACTGAAGCCTGTTCGTCCTAGACTGAAGTGTGTTCATCCTAGATTGAAGCCTGTCGTCCCAGAATGAAGTGTGTTCGTCTTAGATTGAAGCATGTTCGTCCTAGACTGAACTGTGTTCATCCAAGATTGAAGCCTGTCGTCCAAGAATGAAGTGTGTTCGTCCTAGATTGAAGCGTTTTCGTCCTAGACTGAAGCTTGTTCGTCCTAGACTGAAGTGTGTTCATCCTAGATTGAAGCGTTTTCGTTCTTCAATACAGTGTACATGCACATGCTAATAAAGAGTATATCAAAGTCAACAAGACGCCTCAGCTATGAGGCTGTTGGAACCAATGTTCAGTGACTTGATGAGAGCAGTAAAACGAGATGTTGCCTCAAGTGTACTAAATCCTCCCCGTGTAGATAAACCCGTGTCCTGGTTCCTTCACTCTCGGTGTTAGATGCACGGGGCAACACAAAACGGCCTTAAAAAACTCGAATTACTCACCATGCAATGAGAAATGCACGTGAGAATTTGGTGTTAAAGAATGTTCCCTATACATAGTTTTTGTTACATATTCGTGCTTCCATCCAGCCATGTCAAGGGAAAGTTATCTGAAAGATATTATTTCACACCGATACATATAAATTGAAACGTAATTCGTGGGGAACGTTTCAGTGTACAAGCAGTGGGGCTGTACTACGTAGAGGGTAAAGTCCGAGTAACTCTCCATTCCTTAAAAATAATGGAGCCGAGGCCCCGGAGGGGCCGAGGCACATTATTTTAAAGGAATGGAGAGTTACGAGGATATTACCCTACTTAAATTACATTCGAAGTATTGGGAATATTGCTGTTATCAAAATTAAATGTCAAAATGACAAAATGAAGGTTTCATTTTGAAACTGGTACTCATCGCTCCATTCCTGAAAAGTAATGGAGCGAACAGACAATGGAATGACGTCACAAATGTAATTTAACGAGGATTAAGTCAATGAACATCTCAGTCATACAAATTGTGTTAAAGTAACGCTGGACTGAACAACAGGCTATCCCTCATACCCCGGAGCGGCGGTAGGCAGGGGGCGTTACGCGGTGGTAGGGGGGAGTGAGGGCTGCGAGAGAGGTGATAGGGTGTCGGGGATAGATGAAGCTAGTGCTGGAGAGCTGCAGATGAAGAGGCTGGATACACACTAACCGCGATCCTTGGAACCTGTGTTTGTCAACCCTCCCTACTGATGTAGACGTGCACGTCTCGGATGATGTTGCTGCCAGTGTTGTAGATAGCTAATTAAGTTGACAGGTGAGTTGACGATAGATACAGGTGAGCCTTACAGAGCCTAGATGAAAGTCTGAATGACTCGAGCACGGTGTGCACTCTGTGGTTGAGGACAGACACGAGGTTTTGGAGGAGTTGTAACTTGTACTGTTCGTGTTCCAGGAGGACCAGTCGGGACAGGAGGACATGGCGTTCTGTATGATGCTGATGAGGAAGAAGGTCCACTATTTCCCTGTCTTCACCTGGCTCTTCATCATCGTTTCCTTCTTCATCTGGTCAGTATCACTTTATATCGGTCCACTACACTGTATAACTATATATACTGTTTACTGCATGTGTAGGGAAATACCTGTAACCGACAGGCATACCCTAAATATCCGGCCATGATAATGGACCTGTAGAATGTAAGGACAAGCACGAGTCAGAATACGTGGAACGATGTGGAATCTGCTGATGTGAACAGAGAGATCAGGTGAAGGTGAAATGAACGTTTCTGACCTCTCGTTACACCAGACAGAAGGTTTATCTGTTGTGCTCTCCCGTTGAGAGACAGCCGTTACAGGTAGTAAGTCACATTACCTGGAGCGTAATGAGCTGATTCCACTCCTCCCTCACGCTCCGTTATCGCCATCGCTCGACCGGTACGTCGGAACACTGCATAGATGCTGTCAATGTTCTTCACTGCCAGACTGTGTAAGGTGTTGGGCAACAGATAAATGTATATGTTAATTCATTATATATTGCATAGTTATGGTCTTGCTCTTTGAGGGGCGGTGGGGTTGTCAAGTGGTTAAAGCGTGCGCTCGTCACGCCGAAGACCGAGTTCGATTCCCGACATGGGTACAGTATGTGAAGCCCATTTCCGGTGTCCCCCGCCGTGATTTTGCTGGAATATTGCTAAAACCGGCGTAAAACTAAACTCCCTCCCTCTCTTGCTCTTTGAAAACCTTCACTTTCATTGCAAAAGTACATTTGTTGACGCTATGTACCTACAACTCCAATGTTACTCGCCCAATGAAGCTGGAATTTTGCACAGATACAGGAGTATTGATACACACGACTAGATGTCGGCCCGCTTTACATAAGCCTCGTTTTGGTCAATTATCAAATAATTTAGATGGGTTGCAGAGTTACTGCCGTTCACTCCAGTTGTTATGTAGGCATCAAGGTGTGTCGCACATGGCGATGGATGTAGTTGAGTTTAGAGTATCAATGCACCTAGATCGTCTGTAAATCTGCAATGCCATTATCATGTTCAAAGGATTTCTTTAGCAAAAAACCTCCACATTTGAAGTTTTCTTTCTAAGGATCTAGATTCTGAGTGTTTTTCATCACCCTCCGCACTGGCACACAAAACATGAAAGCACGTCCTTCCCTGTTAAAAGATAGCAGAATGACAGGCTTCATGTTGTCTTGAAGATCTAGAAGATTGCTCTATGATGAACCTCGCGTATTTAGCCCCGTAACACTTTTTTATAAACCACTCAAGCAGTTCACGGTGAGGCGTACGTACGATGTGTTCACACGGCAATTGTATTTCCGTCCTCCGTACCTCCCACTGATCTGTTTAGCAATAGAACACTCGTCTGTTGGGTGAATGAAAGAATAACCGTGTAATGACCGCCATGTTTGTTTGTGTTACAGCTGTAACCAACCATCATGTCGTTATGTAGTTCAGTAATGACAGGAGTCATCTGGTTGATGGCGGTGTTTATTGTATCTGGCCCCGGCACAGATTAATTACGATATAAGGTGGCCAGAGTAGACCCCACTCAACGCCTTATGTTGTACCACTTGTCTGTAGATGTTACCTAGACTTGAACAGGTCTCTAAGATAAAAATTAAAAGTTAAAGTGATAATTTCTAAAACATAATAAATAAGAGACTGGGGTACTGTCCGCGTATCTAGACTTACCTCTTTGAAGGATAGAATTACTATACGTCCGTGGGCTCAGCGTTCAGTACAGCCTTGGAGCAAGGCTAGATGTTGCCTTTCTCGAGGAATATCCATACACACACATTCTCAGGCTAATTCCCTTAGTACTCATATTTACAGATATGTTCACTCACACACAGTAAGTTATAATACTTTAAATATACCACAAGTGTTAATCAGGATTTGAATTATAACCACTGACAACGTGTTAATGCTGTGTTTGCCCGTGCACATTGAAGAAATAACTTGCTGTGAATTTTATCCTTCATGGTTTCACTCAAGGCAGCTGATAACTCTGTGGATTAAGGGATTATTTACATAGCCAATTATCTGGTATATTTATACAGTTAGGTTTGGTAGTTATTGGGTTATCGTGTGAGTATATAAGTTAATATAATAACATACAAAACATTTTGCTTATAAAATTGGCGCGTCTGGAAAAACAAACGTGGAAAACCCATCTTGTAAGTGTGTTACAGCTATGAAATAACCATCTTGTATGTGTGTTACAGCTATGAAATAACCATCTTGTATGTTTGTTACAGCTATGAAATGACATCTTGTATGTGTGTTACAGCTATGAAATAACATCTTGTATGTGTGTTACAGCTATGAAATAACATCTTGTATGTGTGTTACAGCTATGAAATAACATCTTTTATGTGTGTTACAGCTATGAAATAACCGTCGTATATGTGTATGTAATATTACTCTATATGTATAACTGCTTTAGTAGAAAGTGTTACAGCTGTAGAATAACCGCTATGTGTATTGTTACTGCTACAGACTAAATCGCTGTTGTGTTGTATCTGTAGAATAACTGCCTTGTGTGTTACAGCTGTATAATAACCGCTGTGTATTGAGTTATAGAATAATCACTATGTACTCTGTGTTACAGCTATAAAAACGCTTTTGTGTTATAAAATAACCGCTGGGTGTATTGTGTCAAAATGACGCAAAAAACATTTACAGCTATGGAATAACCATTGTGTGTATATGTAATTACCTCTTTGCACATTGTAGCTATAGAAAAACCGCTATGTGTATTTTGTAACAGCTGTAGAGAAACCGCTGTTAGCAGTGTATTGCAGCTATAGAGTGTGGGGAGTTTATTGTGGGTTCATTGTATTGCACCTATTTAATAACTACTATGTTTAATATGTTACAGCTATGGTATAGCAGTCGCCCATGGTCACGTGGAGCCAGATTTCCCCTACATCAGGTAAACAGGCTGCATGTGTACACATACTGGTATTGCTTTGTACACAAGGACAGACCAGTGGTTTAGTGCATGTCATCAAACAGCAGCAGCTTTAGGTGAAAATGACTCTCATATATTTTCTGAGAAGCTAAGAACTTTCTCAGTGAAAGTACACCCATACAGTGGTTGTCAGTGAAAGTACACCTATAGAGTGGTTGTCAGTGACAGTACACCTATAGAGTGGTTGTCAGTGACAGTACACCTATACAGTGGTTGTCAGTGAAAGTACACCCATACAGTGGTTGTCAGTGAAAGTACACCTATAGAGTGGTTGTCAGTGAAAGTACACCCATACAGTGGTTGTCAGTGAAAGTACACCTATACAGTGGTTGTCAGTGAAAGTACACCCATACAGTGGTTGTCAGTGAAGGTACACCCATACAGTGGTTGTCAGTGAAAGTACACCCATACAGTGGTTGTCAGTGACAGTACACCCATACAGTGATTGTCAGTGAAAGTACACCCATACTGTGGTTGTCAGTGAAAGTACACCTATACAGTGGTTGTCAGTGAAAGTACACCCATACAGTGGTTGTCAGTGAAAGTACACCCATACAGTGGTTGTCAGTGAAAGTACACCCATACAGTGGTTGTCAGTGAAAGTACACCTATACAGTGGTTGTCAGTGACAGTACACCCATACAGTGGTTGTCAGTGAAAGTACACCCATACAGTGGTTGTCAGTGACAGTACACCCATACAGTGGTTGTCAGTGAAAGTACACCCATACAGTGGTTGTCAGTGAAAGTACACCCATACAGTGGTTGTCAGTGAAAGTACACCCATACAGTGGTTGTCAGTGAAAGTACACCCATACAGTGGTTTGTCAGTGAAAGTACACCCATACAGTGATTGTCAGTGAAAGTACACCCATACAGTGCTTGTCAGTGAAAGTACACCCATACAGTGCTTGTCAGTGAAAGTACACCCATACAGTGAAGTACACCCAGTGACAGTACACCCATACAGTGTGATTGTCAGTGAAAGTACACCCATACAGTGGTTGTCAGTGAAAGTACACCCATACAGTGGTTGTCAGTGAAAGTACACCCATACAGTGGTTGTTGTCAGTGAAAGTACACCCATACAGTGGTTGTCAGTGACAGTACACCCATACAGTGGTTGTCAGTGACAGTACACCTATGCAGTGGTACAGTGAAAGTACACCCATACAGTGGTTGTCAGTGACAGTACACCCATATAGTTGTCAGTGGTTGTCAGTGACACCCATGCAGTGTTGAGTATACCCATTGTCAGTGAGTTGTCAGTGACAGTACACCCATACAGTGGTTGTCAGTGAAAGTACACCCATACAGTGCTTGTCAGTGAAAGTACACCCATACAGTGGTTGTCAGTGAAAGTACACCCATACAGTGATTGTCAGTGAAAGTACACCCATACAGTGATTGTCAGTGAAAGTACACCCATACAGTGGTTGTCAGTGAAAGTACACCCATACAGTGATTGTCAGTGAAAGTACACCCATACAGTGGTTGTCAGTGAAAGTACACCCATACAGTGATTGTCAGTGAAAGTACACCCATACAGTGATTGTCAGTGAAAGTACACCCATACAGTGGTTGTCAGTGAAAGTACACCCATACAGTGATTGTCAGTGAAAGTACACCCATACAGTGGTTGTCAGTGAAAGTACACCCATACAGTGTTTGTCAGTGACAGTACACCCATACAGTGGTTGTCAGTGAAAGTACACCCATACAGTGGTTGTCAGTGAAAGTACACCCATACAGTGATTGTCAGTGAAAGTACACCCATACAGTGATTGTCAGTGAAAGTACACCCATACAGTGTAGTTGTCATTGAAAGTACACCCATACAGTGATTGTCAGTGAAAGTACACCCATACAGTGGTTGTCGTTGCAGCTATACCGCCATCAAGACGCCAGAGAGATGCTACTTCAGCCAACTGATCAACTTCGGGGCGTGTCTGTGTGAGTATCCTAGTTCAAGCGTGAAGACCCTGGTTAGAACTGATCTTCAGTAACCCATGCTTATCGTAAGAGTCGACTAACGGGATCAGGTGGTCAGGCTCGCTGACTTGGTTGACACATGTCATCGTATGCCAAGTGCGTACTTCTTTGCTCATGATGTTGATCACTAGATTGTCTGGACCAGGCTCAATTATTTACAGAACGACGCCATATAATTGGAATGTTGAAAACAGTTTCTGCATTGTGTATATATCTATACCACTTGCCTGTGGTGTCAGATATACTGTTTTGTGTGGATGAGATAAGCTTGTCCGTCCACATCCGGGTCTCTCCTGATCGAGCATACAGAGATGTCGGACCTAATGAGTCATACTGCTCCAATAGACACAGAACCTTTACATCACACACTGTATCGCAAGTGTTGGCCGAGGCAACACTTTAACCAGTGAACTAAATATACTATCCTAGCATATCTCAAATGACTGATGTTTAAACTAAAGCTCCGGTGCTATCTCATGAACCTCAAATAATTTCAAAGTAGGCCTTTAATATATACTTAAAGAAGGCGGATATACAATGTAACCTAAACAAATGACCAACGTCTATTAATTAATATCTGTCCCCATTCTGCCCTTTCTGCCACAATGTCTCAGTGATCAGTTCTCGGAAGACACCCGTCCAGTTTCATCATGACCACTTATTGGTAAAGATACCATCAATCTCCAGCCTCGGGTTCCAGACGCTCCAAGTTGTATAAGTAAACCCAAATACTGATACTGCAGAGACAGAGGAGTAAGACAGGAACCTGACCAGAGTTCCTTGTTCCGCCTGCTGCATCCTCGAGGAGTGTCTATGTGGGCCGCCACCATCTTACACCACCATCTGGTTAACGTCGACCAGCTCACTACTCACAGTCGTTACACAATAACATGAAGGGATAGGCACGGCATCCACAGAAGTATATTTAAAAGGCTACAGTGTATCTCCAGCAAAACACGTGCGTGGTTACTGCGTTTTCCAACAAAATATACATAATTATGTATGTTTATAATTAGGCTAGTGCGTCTTCCCCAAAGAAGTATATTTGTGATAAGACCGCTGTGCCTTCCAAAACTGAAGTGTATCTTCCGAAAGGATATACATTACTATCAGGCTACTGTCTCCCAGAGATAACTCTGTCGGTAATAATTAAGGCGTGTGTCTTCCGAAAATTTTCAATTTCTTACATGGTCAGTGTGTCTTCAGAACATACCAGAACCTATGTTGAAGGTGCCTTATGTCATAAAATGAGTTATGTAGACCTGTACGTATGCTAAAACAAGTATGTCCCCAGTAGAATATATTAGTAGTCAGCTTAAATATACATGGGAGGGAACAAGGTCGATAAAGCTCGGCATGCACTGGAGTGGCTGCAAACTCAGGTGCTACAGCGGTCTCGGAGGTGCTGCAGTGGTCTGGGGGGTGCTGCAGTGGTCTCGGAGGTGCTGCAGTGGTCTCGGAGGTGCTGCAGTGGTCTCGGAGGTGCTGCAGTGGTCTCGGAAGTACTGCAGTGGTCTCGGAGGTTCTATAGTGGTCTCGGAATTGCTGTAGTGGTCTGAGAGGTGGTCTGATAGGTGCTGCAGTGGTCTGAGAGGTGCTGCAGTGGTCTGAGAGGTGCTGCAGTGGTCTCGGAGGTGCTGCAGTGGTGTCAGAGGTGCTGCAGTTGTCCGAGAGTAGATCTCGGGTTCCCTGTCAATAGCTCTATCCTTCACTTGTGATGATGCAAATGTAGTGGGTTCTAATTCCAGATAAAGTGTTTCAGATGGGTCTGGGACAGAAGTCTAACTAGCTGAAAGGCACATAGCCCAATACCAATGAATGTATGTTTATATTATATACAAGTAGACCTGAACTATATATATAATGTGTGTGAGAGAGTTGGTTCACCCTCCACGCAGATGACTTGTATTTATACAAGGGCTACATAATTGTATTTCACGTTGTTTTCAGTGGCCGGGAATGTATTCATTAGATACCTACAGATGAAGGAAGTCTTTGCTAAACACAACAACACTGACAGGTCTCACCGCCGTCTCAACATAGCCTGTCTTGTAGTGGGCTTCCTGTCAGCGCTAGGCTTCAGCATGGTGGCCAACTTCCAGGTGAGTCTACCCCACAACCACCCCTCCCCTCCCGCCCCTGACCCCTAGCTGACCCAGCCCCAAGTGTCCCCACTACAGGGCTGCTGGCGTGCAGATATTTACTTACATACACCCGGCTATCACAACATCACCTGACTCCCATCTCACCACCAAACCTCAGAACGAACAAAAGCTTCCCTAAAGAAATAAAGATGGTGGAAATCAGGTCAATGAAGCCCCAAATGGTTTCGCTTTGCTGTACGTTTTACTTATTTCCCGATACTGTTGGTGTGTCCCGGCTGCACGGGCCGCCCTCAGCATCGTGTGGGGTGAGGGGTGAGAATTCTGCCAGGTGCTCGTGTGAGGGGCTGCGTCTCTGGGCAGTCTCTAGGGTAACGTTACAGACAATTACAGCCGTACAGAGACAGGTGGATACGTCTTGCCTGCTGTACAGCTCTCTGCTAGCTCTCCTCTCTAATCTCTAGTTGACCCTGACAAGGTATAAGTCATTATCTATATGGCAGATTACATCTAGTTCGGCAATTTGCTTGACTAGCAATTTGCCAGCGCCTCGTTAAAAGCGAATATCATTTATGTACCCGCGCGAGTGTGTGTGCGTGCGTATGCGGACTTGTGTGCGTACGTCCGTCTGTGCGTGCGTGCATTCCTAAGGGACGGTATATCCATTCAATCATTAGTTCAATTTGTAAAATATGAAATTAAATATAACATGTTTTACATTTGTATCCCATTTAGAAACATGCAGTATGGAACGAAAACAGCGTCAATTATTATTTAGCATGACAAGCATCATTATGAGGTCTTCATGTGGGGAGTCTGAAAACACGGTAGGAATCCCATATCTGTGGCACCTTCCTGATGCCAGGCGACGTCGTAAATGGCGTGTTTGACACTTCAAGTGCTGCTAAGGGGGAAGCGAATGTGGGAACACGTGCACAATGTCCGACTGCTGGGGGCGTTCTGACCACACACAACTCCACATGCCATCACATACTCCCTTCCACCACACACTCACGTGAACACAGTCTCAGTGACGTGTACCACACGTATGTCATGCCGATAAGACGAGTTCACGTCACAGGTCAGTAACTCGTTCACAACGTTGTAACTGTAGACATCAATCGGTAATTTTCTGAAATAGAGCCCCTATTTGCAAACCCTTTAGGAAACAATGTACTAATTTTGTGAAGGTAGACCAGATAGTTTTAAGATCGAAAGTCACGCTCCAGTGCTATCCCTTTGTATAATCCTTTATTTCTCTTAATAAACATTTCCAAACGCTTCACAGCACAACTCAACGCAGAATTCAGCTATGAATTTAAAAAGAAGTAGATTAATTTCTTTTAAGAATGAAACAACTTCATAAACCATGTATAGTCCTCAGTCAGATTTAATTTGTCAAGTGTTTCTAGAAGTATTTACACGAGTACTGCAGCCGTTACGAAGATCGACAGAAGGGGTGAGAGATACACCACGCTGATGTCAGCGAGTAATTATCCTGAATCCCGTAGCCTGAGTAGATGCGAGTTGTATTGACCCTAGCGTATACCGCCCACAGGTGTGCTTGGCACCGCTTTCATGTAGAAAATATGTGTTTCTCCAGCGAAACTCAGACAAAATTGCCATGAAGGTTTGTCATGATGTGAGTTAATAGATTCTCATACAATTAATTACACGTGATATCATAGGCCATTACATTAGATTGGCCCCCGCCTTCAATTTGAGGCAGGCAGTGTTGACTGAGCCGCCCTATCCTATCTTCCTATCAACACACTCTCTCCTTAGTATAGAGGAGCAGGCAGATACGTTATACAGCGATGTATATACACACGCACACGGAGTTTATAGCCGGCTTAAAGGGGAACTAGTCCAACTTGTCATTCGTCAATGTTATCTAACTTGCCAGACACAGAACTGGAGACCGTCTGTCTTCCTTATCCATCGTGTTTATGTCTTATCCTATCTCGGCTGAATTCGTCCAGTAAAGAATAAATAACTTCTCCATTTGGCGAAGCGTCGAAATGTATATACCTTGTTATTTCCCAAACAACTACCGTCCATGTTTGGCTGGTAATCATAGTAATATGTTTCGATTAACCTTGTGTTTGGTCCACGTGAACAAACAGGTCTTTACAGAGTAGTCTCCAACGTTATGGTTTAGCGTGTATTGTGCTGTGGTAGTCTGTATGTGTGTACCAGGCAATAGCGGGGACAGACTGGAATTCTTCATGAAATGTTAGTGGTGGATTTTCCCACATAACTAAATGCCACTCGTGTAGGAAGGCTTCAGAAACAGGCGCGAAGTGGCGATATCTTCTTTTCGGTTAAGGAGGCGGTTTGGAAGTAGCAGTGCATGCTCAAAGATAAGACGCTGCATGGTGGGTGTTTTGCTGTGTCTGTACCGGGGTTGGTGTTGCCCATACAATGAAGTAACCAACAAGCCATGAGCTGATGGTAAATTATTATTTGGTCTTGGGAGACAAGCTGCTGTTCTTGCAGAGGACTATGCAAATCATTACCGTCTGGAAGCGGCTAAAAGGATAATTTCAATCATTATAAATCCCCCATTTCAGCCTATGACAATGTTCCCTACGGGTTTCTTGGACGAGTTGATCCCCAGCAGTCCGGGGCGAATGGATGGCCGGGTTCGATGTCCTGCGTGGGGCGGTGCTCATTCTATCAGCCACTGTGGGGTGTTGAGTGGAACGATAAACAAAACAACAGCCACATCAGAGGCAGATCATTAAAGCGTTCGCTCGTCACGTCAAAGACCCGGATTCGGTTCCCCACATGAGTACAATGCGTGAAGCCCATTTCTGGTGTCCCCGCCGTGATATTGCTGGAATATTGCTAAAAGCGGCGTAAAACCATACTCACACTCACACTATTCAAGCAGATTATCTCCACCCAGATTAACAACAAGATTATGTATCCCTATATCAGCAGCCATATCATTTAGTAGATCATCTCCACCCAGATTAACAAATAGGATGTATTCCCCCATGTTGCAGACCCAGGTAATGCGGCCGCTGCACTACACGGGGGCAGGACTGGCGTTTGTCTTCGGGATGTGTTACTGCTGGATGTCGTCGGCGCTCACGTGGAAACAACGCAGTCTCATGAACAACACCTACGTGGCCGTCTTACAGCTCATCAACAGCGCCGTACTCTCGGTCTTCCTCGTCGTCTGTATCCTTGACAACCTTGTCTCTTTTTTTCTTTCGTTCGTGCGTGCGTGTGTATGTGTGTGTGTGTTGTTGTTATCGTTTTATGAACTCGGAATTAGAATTCTAGTATTTCCCAATGAAGCTTCATAAAATCAGCCTTACACACCCACACTCTAACGCTCTGTATTGCCAGCACTCTCTGATCAGCTGCAACGGAGTGCACAGTCAGTATCCCCTACAATGACGTATCAAGTCGTTCATGAGGACGTCATCACACACAGCGTCAGCAAAGGCGTCTGTAATACGTATGCAATGTCTGTAGAGCGAAATTATAGGTTTGCTCCTGTGTGTTAACTCCAACCTTGAACAATGTGTCTTATTCTCCTTAACGTGGATCAGTCGGCGTCTCAAAGGCAATTTATAAGTACAGGGAAACACATGGCATGGGAACAAAGTGGGTAAGTTATGTACACATCAATCTACTTTAATCTTGTACACACTACCTGTTTCTGAAATGTTCTGATTTAGACCACGAAGAATGCATATTGCACACACGGTTTACATTTGTTAAGTAAAATATTTTCTTTTGCTTCGAACACAATACGCAATCTGGTAGCACATCTATCCAGGCATCAAAGTGACAAAATATATTTTGTTGATAAATATACACATACTTAGGTACTGCAGTGTCATCCGTAGTCTGCAACTAGAGGGATAACACCAACTGACAGGTGGTGCAGCGTCTCCAGTGAACGTTGAAATCGTTTTGGAGCATAACCTGCGATTTTGTTGAGTGATTTGTGCCGTTCACGGAGCAGAGAGCCAGAGACATTGAAAACGTTTCTTGTAACGAGGAAAGCTAATTCTGTTCCGGCTTCTGGTTTCTGGGATTCGAAAGGAATTTTACTGGAAAATCTACCGCCCGAAAGGTCCGACCTTTAATGGTCCATATTGTGCTAATCTGCGTAGGCACCTGAATGATAGTATCAAGGCTAAACGTCGTAGCCAACTTATTGAAGTATGTACCAATATGACAAGGTACTTGAGTACCTGCCTCTTGTCAACCATGGCTGCAATGACCCACTGTAGATATTGACTCATTTTAAATCCTCCGTATTCAACATATTTGACACTGCAAGCTAGTTTAGACATTTATATACACCCAGATTCAGTTTAGTTACAGTGTTAGCTACGATTGATAAGACCGACATAAGCCACAACCCGCACATTGTTACTATCCCCCGCAACGCGTTTTGCGGGGGTATTAAAATGGAGATCCGTCCGTCCGTGGAAGCTCGTTCTTTGTCCGGAGCAGAACTTAAAAACTGTTCAATATTTCTCCACCACACTTGGCACATAGATAGGCCTGGTGGTGAACTGGTGCCTTTGGTCGTTTTGGATTTCTGAATAAGATAGTTACCATGGCAACAAGTTTGACTTTGACTGAAATTGGTGTTGGTGCTGTTTTCTGGAGTAGAACTTAAAACCTTTTAATACTCTCTTTCCACTTTGTGGGTATCCAAGAACCTAATGACATTAATCAACCTTACTACTCTATTTCCGTATCAACTTTACTGAGGTACATCAAACCACCGTACATTTGACATAGTCATAACTAGGAGACATAATCATGTAGAGTATTTCACCATTGCGGGGGATCTTGATGACTTCTTGTTCTTCTGTCTCCAGGACACTCTAAAGACTGTGTATCTGCTGTCCACCATAACGGAATGGCTGACGGCAACCTTCATCGTCACCTTCGTCCTCACCTACTACCCAGACTTCAAGAAGATTAGGTTCTACGGGCCGAGAGTGAAATTCAATACAGATGTTTATGCAGTAAGTTACTCCTCTTTCTATTTGTCTGGATAACTGGGCTGCGTAATCTCTACAAATGCCCTGGGCTCTTGTTTATTTGTAACGCTATACAACTGGTCCTGGCTTTGGTCAAGATAGATGAACCGCTGTTTTGAATGGCCTTTCTTTGAAACTGTATAATTCCTCCAGGTGTCGCTGTGTAGCCGTGAGCAAGTTATCCCTGTTTACTTCTGTCTTATCGCCCTAAGTTGTCGATATTTGTGAGTGTTCAACACCATTCACTGACTCTGTCTATGTGAGAGACATGTACTTGTGGGCATCTGTGTACCAGGTACATGTAGGCATCTGTGTACCAGGAACATGTAGGCATCTGTGTACCAGGTACATGTAGGCATCTGTGCACCAGGTACATGTAGGCATCTGTGTACCAGGTACATGTAGACATCTGTGTAGCAGGTACATGTAGGTATCTGTGTACCAGTACGTGTAGACATCTGTGTACCAGGTACGTGTAGGCATCTGTGTACCAGTACGTGTAGACATATGTGTACCAAGCACGTATAGGCATATGTGTACCAGGTACGTGTAGGCATCTGTAGGTACGTATAGACATATGTGTACCAGGTACGTATTACCAGGTACGTGTAGGCATCTGTGTACCAGGTACGTATAGGCATCTGTGTACGAGGTACGTATAGGCATCTGTGTACCAGGTACGTATAGGCATCTGTGTACGAGGTACGTATAGGCATCTGTGTAAGAGGTACGTATAGCCATCTGTGTACCGGCTACGTGTAGGCATCTGTGTACCAGGTACGTATAGGCATCTGTGTACCAGTACGTGTAGACAAATGTGTACCAGGTTCGTATAGGCATCTGTGTACCAGGTACATATAGGCATCTGTGTACCAGGTTCGTATAGGCATCTGTGTACCAGGTACGTATAGGCATCTGTGTACCAGGTACGTATAGGCATATGTGTACCAGTACGTGTAGACATATGTGTACCAGGTACGTATAGGCATCTGTATACCAGGTACGTATAGCCATCTGTGTACCAGGTACATGTAGACATCTGTGTAGCAGGTACATGTAGGCATCTGTGTACCAGTACGTGTAGACATCTGTGTACCAGGTACGTATAGGCATCTGTGTACTAGGTACGTGTAGGCATCTGTGTACCAGGTAGGTGTAGGCATCTGTGTACCAGGTACGTATAGGCATCTGTGTACCAGGTACGTATAGGCATCTGTGTACCAGGTACGTGTAGGCATCTGTATACCAAGGTACGTATAGGCATCTGTGTACTACGTATTAGGCATACGTATGGGCATCTGTGTACCAGGTACGTGTAGGCATCTGTGTACCAGGTACGTATAGGCATCTGTGTACCAGGTACGTATAGGCATCTGTGTACCAGGTACGTATAGGCATCTGTGTACCGGGTACGTATAGCCATCTGTGTACCAGGTACATATAGGCATCTGTGTACCAGGTACGTAGAGGCATCTGTGTACCAGTACGTGTAGGCATATGTGTACCAGGTACGTATAGGCATCTGTGTACCAGGTACGTATAGGCATCTGTGTACCAGGTACGTATAGCATCTGTGTACCAGGTACGTATAGGCATCTGTGTACCAGGTAGGTGTAGACATCTGTGTACCAGGTACGTGTAGACATATGTGTACCAGGTACATGTAGGCATCTGTGTACCAGGTACATGTAGGCATCTGTGTACCAGGTACGTGTAGGTATCTGTGTACCAGGTACTTGTAGGCATATATGTGCACCAGGTAGATGTAGTAGGCATCTGTGTACCAGGTACGTATAGGCATCTGTGTACCCGGTACATGTAGGCATCTGTGTACCAGGTACATGTAGACATCTGTGTAGCAGGTACATGTAGGCATCTGTGTGTACCAGGTACCAAGATACATGTAGGCATATGTGTACCAGATACATGTAGGCATCTGTGTACCAGGTACATGTAGGCATCTGTGTACCAGGTACATGTAGACATATGTGTAGCAGGTACATGTAGGCATCTGTGTACAAGATACATGTAGGCATATGTGTACCAGGTACATGTAGGCATCTGTGTACCAGGTACATATAGGCATCTGTGTACCAGGTTCGTATAGGCATATGTGTACCAGGTACGTATAGGCATCTGTGTACCAGGTACGTATAGGCATATGTGTACCAGTACGTGTAGACATATGTGTACCAGGTACGTATAGGCATCTGTATACCAGGTACGTATAGCCATCTGTGTACCAGGTACATGTAGACATCTGTGTAGCAGGTACATGTAGGCATCTGTGTACCAGTACGTGTAGACATCTGTGTACCAGGTACGTATAGGCATCTGTGTACTAGGTACGTGTAGGCATCTGTGTACCAGGTACGTGTAGGCATCTGTGTACCAGGTACGTATAGGCATCTGTGTACCAGGTACGTATAGGCATCTGTGTACCAGGTACGTGTAGGCATCTGTATACCAAGTACGTATAGGCATCTGTGTACCAGGTACGTATTACCAGGTACGTATAGGCATCTGTGTACCAGGTACGTGTAGGCATCTGTGTACCAGGTACGTATAGGCATCTGTGTACCAGGTACGTATAGGCATCTGTGTACCAGGTACGTATAGGCATCTGTGTACCGGGTACGTATAGCCATCTGTGTACCAGGTACATGTAGGCATCTGTGTACCAGGTACGTAGAGGCATCTGTGTACCAGTACGTGTAGACATATGTGTACCAGGTACGTATAGGCATCTGTGTACGAGGTACGTATAGGCATCTGTGTACCAGGTACGTATAGCCATCTGTGTACCAGGTACGTATAGGCATCTGTGTACCAGGTAGGTGTAGACATCTGTGTACCAGGTACGTGTAGACATATGTGTACCAGGTACATGTAGGCATCTGTGTACCAGGTACATGTAGGCATCTGTGTACCAGGTACGTGTAGGTATCTGTGTACCAGGTACTTGTAGGCATATGTGCACCAGGTAGATGTAGGCATCTGTGTACCAGGTACGTATAGGCATCTGTGTACCCGGTACATGTAGGCATCTGTGTACCAGGTACATGTAGACATCTGTGTAGCAGGTACATGTAGGCATCTGTGTACAAGATACATGTAGGCATGTGTGTACCAGATACATGTAGGCATCTGTGTACCAGGTACATGTAGGCATCTGTGTACCAGGTACATGTAGACATATGTGTAGCAGGTACATGTAGGCATCTGTGTACAAGATACATGTAGGCATATGTGTACCAGGTACATGTAGGCATCTGTGTACCCGGTACATGTAGGCATCTGTGTACCAGGTACATGTAGACATCTGTGTAGGAGGTACATGTAGACATCTGTGTAGCAGGTACATGTAGGCATCTGTGTACAAGATACATGTAGACATATGTGTACCAGATACATGTAGGCATCTGTGTACCAGGTACATGTAGGCATGTGTGTATGAGGTACTTATAGGCATGATAGCTATGTATCGATATCAGTTTACATGACATCTATCTTTTGTAGCGATCAGCTGACAGTAACGGATCCGCTCATGTCAACCACGACAATTTAATACAGAAGAACGAGGACACGGTTTGAGGACGACGACTAACTCCAGGGACACGAGGACAGTGTGAGAGGGGACATGAGGACAAAATGTGATGGTCCCACGTGCACAGCATGAGTAGTCGACGAAAACAGACCACGCTACACATACCAGACCAAAGAGATGTTACTGTATATTTTCGGTTGTTTCATACATAATGAATTTCAACCAACACACAATTTGAGCTGATGCCCATGGCTAACGCGAAAGGCTATGTTTAGTAGCGATTAGATGGTATACTGAACGTCTGTGGAATAAGTCCAGTGGTATATTTAGACACTGTGGAGCAAGTTTAGATGGTATATCAAGAGATTGTGGAGCAGACATAGATGGTGTACCAGGAGACTGAGGAGCGAGTTTGGCTCTTCTTCAAGGAGACTGTTGAACGAGTTTGGCTCTTCTACCAGGAGACTGTGGAGCGAGTTTGGCTCTTCTTCAAGGAGACTGTTGAACGAGTTTGGCTCTTTTACCAGGAGACTGTGGAGCGAGTTTGTCTCTTCTACCAGGAGCTGGTATATGGAGAGAAAGCGGGGACACACTGTTACGGATTTTGTTGTGTTAGGTTACATGTGACATGGCCTATGGCTCCAGTGTGTGAGGATGTGTGAATGTGAGTGACATGTGGGGGATTCTTGTGTATATATGTGTAGATGCAGAGTGCGACACGAGGGTGGTGTGTATACTGGAGGTGTCAAGATACTTGAGGTGTCACGATACCGGAGGTGTCACCATAAATCCTTGTAGTACCCTTGTACAAAACTTGTCTGTTGGTTCACACTTAGAGTTACAGTCACATCGACAAATCGACAAAAATGGCAGCGGAAATCTGCTCAGTCACTCCCGGAATCATATTTAGATGTATTATCCTGGAAATCATTTAACTGGAAACAGGTGCAAATTTCGACGACTATTGCATATTGTTAATTTCCCTTCAGAATGCTGAATGGAATAGTTTATGTTTCGCAGCAAGTTTAACACAAAGTCGTCATACTGAGATGACATCTTGGCCTTATAGACATTCTCTCTGACACCACGATGTATGGCAACACACCTGGTATACACATCCCCTCCACAACAGTGGTACAATGTATGTTTAGTACGTTATACCAAGTGTGACAATATAACACGCGATTATATGTGAGTTGTGGTATGTGTGACAAATATGTAAATACTGGTGACATGACATCCTCTGCATTTTCTTGAAACATCACTTAACTATCACACTTAAATATCCAGTTGAGGAGATCGTGATAGTTAAAATATGTATGTCTTCTATGAGATAAGTTACACTTGATTCGTATGTTTAAACCGGCATCCATGGGTACTTACATGGCTAGAATCTCCAGGTAATGCATTTAGACAGGCACTGACCACTGGTCAGTATATGTCCATACGCCGAGTCTCTGGTATGTTGTGATGACGTCATTGCTGACAACTGGGGGAGGTCCAGATATCTATTTATAGAAACCCAACACACACAAGATTGCACATTATGTTTATGTTACATCATCATCACAAAAATATACACTCAGGCAGCTGGTGTGATACGTCAATCTATGGAGACCAAGTTCCGCAAGATCCGCAAGATCCGCGTGCTATATTCAAGGTGCCTTAATTCAATGGTTGGAGCATCATCTGTTTAGTTACAGCAAACATAGATGAATGAACAAATGGCAGTACACATTCGTACCGATGATACAACAGTAGATGTAGCTAAACTCAAAACATTTTTTACAATTCTGTACACTAAAAAAGTAAACATATACTTTTAGTGATATGGAAATTAATGTTATTCCGTGATAAGTAATGGTGGCTTTTCATATTTCATGTATCCAGACACACTACATGTTCAGACACACTCGCATGGTACACAACTCAGACACTAGTGTACTGGACATAAACAGAGAGTTCACCTGATTAACGTACACAACCCATACCTTATGTAAACAACACAAATATGCAAGGCTGAATTGAAAATTTGCTATTTGTTAAAACAGTTAAATCAATTCTTAAAAATCCCAGAGTCGTATTGTAAAAAGTTAACACTAGAAATAAAACCATCCTTTAAGCGTCTGATCGATGCGAAGGCAATGCCTGGCAGCCTGCCAAATGGATACATCAGTCAACCCACATGACGGGTTGTACTAGAAGTATCGATACAACCAATACAACTGTTATATTACAGCTGGTTAAGAGCTTATATCTATGAGATCTATGCAACCCCGTCCTCGGTGCTTCAGTTAGCCTATACTAGGGGCCTGTACTGTTTCACTGTAGATACAATGTTGTTATATTCTTTGGAAATAATTCTGGTTTTTGTGTCACTTGGTTTACAGATTCTCGTATATCACTTGTTGAACAAATTATTTAGTCACATTATTTAGTCACATTTTAGTGAGAACGAACTGTCCAAATTGGATCGACTGTCTTCAGAAATACCGTTTCTTTTGATGTTTCTTGATGTTTCTTTATCGACCAAATTAAGATCCGTAATCCAGGTAAGTAGATAGACCTCAACTATGGCTTCCAGACGATGTTAGTGCCTGTGTGTACACACTGCCTGTGTATGATGTTACAAGTAAAGGCAGGCCGTACTCTGTATAGTAGTCTCATTGTACTGGCATCGTTTTTATATGAGATTTTTTCTGATGTCTATATTGACGTTGTTTATTCTTTATATGTTTGAATATATTCAACATGTGAGTCTCAAAATAAAAGCTTAAACTTCCAGGTGTGTACTGTGTTCTCTATGCTGAAGTGTTGGGTGCACGCACGTGTGTATTGTGTTCTCCATGATGAAGTGTTGAGTGCACGCACGTGTGTATTGTGTTCCCCATGCTGTGTGTTTCCATGATGAAGTGTTGGGTGCACGCACGTGTGTATTGTGTTCTCCATGCTGAAGTGTTGGGTGCACGCACGTGTGTATTGTGTTCTCTATGCTGAAGTGTTGGGTGCACACACGTATGAACTATGTTCTCCATGCTGAAGTGTTGGGTGCACGCACGTGTGTATTGTGTTCTCTTTGCTGAAGTGTTGAGTGCACACACGTGTGTATTGTGTTCTCTATGCTGAAGCGTTGGGTGCACGCACGAGTGTACTATGTTCTCCATGCTGAAGTGTTGGGTGCACGCACGTGTGTATTGTGTTCTCCATGATGAAGTGTTGGGTGCACGCACGTGTGTATGTGTTCTCTATGCTGAAGTGTTGGGTGCACACACGTATGAACTATGTTCTCCATGCTGAAGTGTTGGGTGCACGCACGTGTGTATTGTGTTCTCTATGCGGAAGTGTTGGGTGCACACACGTATGAACTATGTTCTCCATGCTGAAGTGTTGGGTGCACACACGTGTGTACTATGTTCTCCATGCTGAAGTGTTGGGTGCACGCACGTGTGTATTGTGTTCTCCATGCTGAAGTGTTGGGTGCACGCACGTGTGTATTGTGTTCTCCATGCTGAAGTGTTGGGTGCACGCACGTGTGTACTATGTTCTCCATGCTGAAGTGAAGTGTGTGCTATGTTCCTCCATGCTGGCTGTACGCACGTGTGTATTGTGTTCTCCATGCTGAAGTGTTGGGTGCACGCACGTGTGTACTGTGTTCTCCATGCTGAAGTGTTGGGTGCACGCACGTGTGTACTATGTTCTCCATGCTGAAGTGTTGGGTGCACGCACGTGTGTACTATGTTCTCCATGCTGAAGTGTTGGGTGCACGCACGTGTGAATTGTGTTCTCCATGCTGAAGTGTTGGGTACACGCACGTATGTATTTTGTTCTCTATGCTAAAGTGTTGGGCGCACGCACGCGTGTATTGTGTTCTCCATGCTAAAGTGTTGGGCGCACGCACGTGTGAACTATGCTTTCCATGATGAAGTGTCGGGTGCACGCACGTGTGTATTGTGTTCTCCATGCTGAAGTGTTGGGTGCACATGATGAAGTGTTGGGTGCAAGCACGTGTTCTCTATGCTGAGGTGTTGGGTGCACACACGTGTGTATTGTGTTCTCCATGCTGAAGTGTTGGGTGCACACACGTGTGTATTGTGTTCTCCATGATGAAGTGTTGGGTGCACACACGTGTATTGTGTATTGTGTTCTCCATGCTCTATGCTGAAGTGTTGGGTGCACGCACGTGTATTGTGTTCTCCATGCTAAAGTGTTGGGCGCACGCACGTGTGTATTGTGTTCTCTATGCTAAAGTGTTGGGCGCACGCACGTGTGTATTGTGTTCTCTATGCTAATGTGTTGGGCGCACGCACGTGTGACGTGTGACCTATGCTTTCCATGATGAAGTGTTGGGTGCACGCACGTGTGTATTGTGTTCTCCATGCTGAAGTGTTGGGTGCACGCACGTGTGTATTGTGTTCTCTATGCTGAAGTGTTGGGTGCACACACGTATGAACTATGTTCTCCATGCTGAAGTGTTGGATGCACGCACGTGTGAGCTGTGCTCTCCATGAGTTTAGAACAACCTTAATCTCTAAGGAATAGCACGCAGAATTATTCATTCAAATATATTTATTTGGTAACCATAAACATGTCCATAACATATCCACAATATGGCTTATATTACAATATGAGGAAAAAACACAGCATGGACCTTTTCAAACGCACGATGGCAATGTTAAAGTACAGCATGATCTTCACCTTCAAAATGATCATTCCCATCTCAATAGAAATTAAAAGTTTTATCACAAGCACAATACATGTTCAACATTTCCACTAGAGCGTGAGGGTGGTTAGCTACTGGTACAGTATAAACAATGTTTTTTATTCATGGGATATCATCCCTGGTCCCCCTACACGTAGATGTCCACCTCTGTATCGTACAGTCAAACACTCTTTCACAACACATCACTGGCCATCACCAGAGATATAAAAGTCGTACTTCTTTATGTATACGCCCCTATGACATTTGTCTGACGTTTGCCAGGCGTAGTCGTACAAACTGGAAATGTCTTTCTCTTCTTGTTTGACTGTGTGTCCAGATCGTTTCAACTGCGCCTTGCGCACAAACAACCTACACCCACTGTTCAGGACTCTTTCTAATTCCTCCTGTATCTTCCTCCGACCAAACAACAATCGGAACCAGTTCTCGGGGGAAAGGTTACCATTCAGTACCTTGAACATGACCACTTGTCGCTTTGCATGAGGTCTCGGTTGAACTGAAACTTCGACAAATGTATGTTTGTTGCCGGACTTCTTGAAGAGATTCAGACAACACTTCTTGAGCCCCAGACCATGCCTAAAGTCTTTCCACGTTCCGCCTGTAGTTTGATCTCGGGATGGGACGATTGCAAGTTGCCATGGTGACCAACGATAGTCATTGTATGCGAAATTGGTATGAGGGACTTTTTCCCTTCGAAGACGTTTCTTTTCAGTCTTAATTCGCTTTCTTGGCTTTGATTTCTTTACTGTTTTTCTTACTTTCTTTGTTTTATATTTTGCCACCACAGCGGTTGGTGCCAGTGTATCAAATGATGGTTGTGTATACAGTGAGAGGGGTGATATCGGATCTGGAAGTGGCCCTATGAGTGCCCCTGGTCCTCCAACACTGCTGGCCTTGGAATCATCTCTCCTCAACGTTCCAAACAGGCCCTCCAGATCCTTATTCATAGATTTCTTCCCCTTAGCTGCTCGGATTTCAGCCTCATAATCCTGTAATATATTCAAACCATGTTTTTAGAACTATTCACTAAATTATGATGTGTTTACCTCAAGAGCATGATAAATCCAATGAACAATAACGCCCAATTAAATTGCGATTGTTATAACGCTCTGGAAACAGATTACAGGATTTACACGACTATGGATGAGGGTGTATATGTGTAGACATACCTGAAGGAAGTCTTCACCTCTCTCCCTGTAGCAGATGGCCATGATGAAGGTGCAGATGTTGGAGAAGTTCTCCAGCTTCAGATACTGCCCCCCTCCCTTGTCGGACAAGGCTTGGAAGAAGGTCTGGGACGTCTCGTCCCCACCCACCTGCACGCCGTACACACGGACACCCTGCAAACACATGCAACCATCTTACAGCACTGGCTACAAACATCACATGACACTCGTACATCAATACGGGCTCGGTAACCAATACACTCGTGTACTGTCTACTCACCATGTTGACTAGGTCCTGTAGTTCAACTCTCCAGTCCAGGTTCATTGTGTTCAGTGGATAGTCAGGTTCGTGGGGATACGCGTCTCCGATCATGATGAGCACCTTCTGGGAATCCCCTTTCCATGCCAATCCGCTGACAAGTCGCAGAACCAGTTCATAGCATTCTTCTACATCACCCCCACCTGTCCCTTCAGACTCGTTGACGAAGTTGCACAGTTCCATGACGTTGTCTGTGAAGTCCAGGTGACTGGTAACATAGAACATGTCCTTGTCACAGTAGTCCCCGTGTGCCACTACACTTATGCTTATCCCCGGGATGTCTGCCTGAAGACGCTGTATCATGTCCTGGAGGCGACCTCGAACCTCGTCCAGTATAGCGGACATTGAGCCAGTTGTGTCAAAGGAAAACACAATCTGTGTTGGCCCTGGGTAATGCGCCATTGTGTCGTTACTGAAAGTTGGAAAAAGATGGTAAGTGAAAATAACCTGTAAAACATGAGGCGACCGCAACCAACAATAACGAGTAAATTCAATAAGATCTTATTCAAAAGAGGACCAGCCGTGACCAGATTATTTCCGGGGGAAAGGCATTCGTGTTATATGGTATAGTAACCTTCAAAATATGTGTGATATTTCAAATGGATTTTTATAGGTAGCTGTTCAAAGGAGCAAGTGACAGAAGGTTGCTTAATGTCAAAATCCAAGAAGTGTAATGTCACTTATCATTGTCGTGGGTTCGAATCCCGGATTCGCCCTGGTATAAATGGTTTGTCAACACTGTAATAGTTCTAAGGGATTTTCTACGGAGGTACACATCACATTTCTTCCCACCTGCCGGGAACAGGAAGTACCCAATACACTCCCTAACGACAGTACTGTAACAACCAAGCCCAAGGTATTCTGGTTGTGTAGGGTAAAAATCTCAGTTTACCTTTAATGTGTCTGTAAAACTATTTTGATTAAAGGTGGGCGTGCCGTTATTCGCTGTGTGACAACCAGCGTCCGTCCTCCACAGTAGTAGCTGTCGTCTGCTACCTGAGTCAGCATTGCTAAGCCTTTATATAGGAAAGTATAGCTTCGCGGAAAGAAACATGTTCGTTCCCGTTATCAACTCGATTATACAGTTGATGCCAACTTCACTCTTTGCTGACTAGCTCAAACGAAACGAAAGCGATGTATCTTCGTTGCTGTGTGGAGCTCTGGTATATCTCTGCCTGGGTCATCGAGTCTGCTGATATCGCTGGTTCTATTTATACACCAGTCGCTCGACGTGTTCGTACTTGCTGAATACACAGCAGAAGGGCCCCGCCGTGATATTTATAGGCCACAGCGTAATGGTTACACTTGCATAAGTCTCTATGATAAGGAAATAATTAATAGTTTAAATGAAAATTTCTAAAAAGAATATAAATTACACTCTGGTGTCCTTAGACTGTACTTGTACTGTCCGTTTATCTAGACTTGCCTCTTTAAAGGATAGAATTACTATACATCCATTGGCTTAGCATTCAATGCAGCCTTGGAGCAAGGCTACGTAATGGTGGCCAGATACAGTTGAAACTGATTGTAGAAGCTGCCCCACTTACTGTTCTACTGACACCGTAATGGTGGCCAGATACAGTTGAAACTTATCGTAGAAGCTGCCCCACTTACTGTTCTACTGACACCGTAATGGTGGCCAGATACAGTTGAAACTGATTGTAGAAGCTGCCCCACTTACTGTTCTACTGACACCGTAATGGTGGCCAGATACAGTTGAAACTGATTGTAGAAGCTGCCCCACTTACTGTTCTACTGACACCGTAATGGTGGCCAGATACAGTTGAAACTGATTGTAGAAGCTGCCCCACTTACTGTTCTACTGACACCGTAATGGTGGCCAGCTACAGTTGAAACTGATTGTAGAAGCTGCCCCACTTACTGTTCTACTGACACCGTAATGGTGGCCAGCTACAGTTGAAACTGATTGTAGAAGCTGCCCCACTTACTGTTCTACTGACACCGTAATGGTGGCCAGATACAGTTGAAACTGATTGTAGAAGCTGCCCCACTTACTGTTCTACTGACACCGTAATGGTGGCCAGCTACAATTGAAACTGATTGTAGAAGCTGCCCCACTTACTGTTCTACTGACACCGTAATGGTGGCCAGCTACAGTTGAAACTGATTGTAGAAGCTGCCCCACTTACTGTTCTACTGACACCGTAATGGTGGCCAGCTACAGTTGAAACTGATTGTAGAAGCTGCCCCACTTACTGTTCTACTGACACCGTAATGGTGGCCAGCTACAGTTGAAACTGATTGTAGAAGCTGCCCCACTTACTGTTCTACTGACACCGTAATGGTGGCCAGATACAGTTGAAACTGATTGTAGAAGCTGCCCCACTTACTGTTCTACTGACACCGTAATGGTGGCCAGATACAGTTGAAACTGATTGTAGAAGCTGCCCCACTTACTGTTCTACTGACACCGTAATGGTGGCCAGCTACAGTTGAAACTGATTGTAGAAGCTGCCCCACTTACTGTTCTACTGACACCGTAATGGTGGCCAGATACAGTTGAAACTGATTGTAGAAGCTGCCCCACTTACTGTTCTACTGACACCGTAATGGTGGCCAGATACAGTTGAAACTGATTGTAGAAGCTGCCCCACTTACTGTTCTACTGACACCGTAATTGTGGCCAGATACAGTTGAAACTGATTGTAGAAGCTGCCCCACTTACTGTTCTACTGACACCGCAATGGTGGCCAGATACAGTTGAAACTGATTGTAGAAGCTGCCCCACTTACTGTTCTACTGACACCGTAATGGTGGCCAGATACAGTTGAAACTGATTGCAGAAGCTGCCCCACTTACTGTTCTACTGACACCGTAATGGTGGCCAGCTACAGTTGAAACTGATTGTAGAAGCTGCCCCACTTACTGTTCTACTGACACCGTAATGGTGGCCAGATACAGTTGAAACTGATTGTAGAAGCTGCCCCACTTACTGTTCTACTGACACCGTAATGGTGGCCAGATACAGTTGAAACTGATTGTAGAAGCTGTCCCACTTACTGTTCTACTGACACCGTAATGGTGGCCAGCTACAGTTGAAACTGATTGTAGAAGCTGCCCCACTTACTGTTCTACTGACACCGTAATGGTGGCCAGCTACAGTTGAAACTGATTGTAGAAGCTGCCCCACTTACTGTTCTACTGACACCGTAATGGTGGCCAGCTACAGTTGAAACTGATTGTAGAAGCTGCCCCACTTACTGTTCTACTGACACCGTAACATGTGTATACACGTAACTAGGATACCAAAGAGTATGTGTACTATGAGCCTACACATATGAACCAACAAACGTGTATTTCTTAAACACTGACACGACTCCACATTTGTAATATCTGAAACAGCAGGGAGCTGCCGTTTGAATAATTCTATTTTAGGGGTGGGAAGACTCTTAAACATAAATTCTTATTTCAGAAATATGTCAATCATTTGTTGTTAGTTGTGAAAAAGAACAGTTTCTTTTGTACAAAATACATGAACTTGTTTTGTGTGTTTTGATAATGAAAATGAATAGATGGATCGTGCTCAGTAAATTCATTGTTTGTCCAATAAATGTGAGTGAAAAATCAATTGATCTGAAACAAAATACCAATAGAAATCAGATGGATGCTCTGTTAAACCTAAAGCATACATTTCCGTATTGCTGTAAAACGCTTAAATTGTTTTTTCGCTGTTTCACTTTTACATCACTTAACATGTTGTTCTGAGCTATGAAATAGTGCTCTAATAATCGCAACTAACGTTATATAATGTGTAAAGCAGGAAGAATGAGAAGAGAACATCGCTGGGTACATTTGTCAACTGGAAAATATAAGAAACGTCAAGGTGAGAACACACACGCTATATGACTGAAAGCTTCAACTCAGCAGCACACACACAGTTTACCGGATTCTTGTGATAGCTGCTTCCAATCCAGATTCTTCCTAAATATTCTGTGTTTGTCGGTACTAGGCCATGCTTGTGCTTCCCAAAAACTTCGTCATCCAAACGTAGTGATATACAAAGGAAAGAAGCACTAAAACCAGCCTAGCTTGCTCGGTAGGATTATATTGCAATCTTTCACATGGGGGATGTTTACTATAAGCGCGATATACTTCCACTGTGGTACACAAATGAATAAATTGCATTTCGTGCAAAGTCGAACCACGACTCATCGGTGTTTGTAGATGTGCACTTGTGTCCTTCACTCGTGACAGTACCCGTTTACAGCATGGGTTGTATTCTCAGATCAACCTTGATTACCAAAATGGTAACGTCCAAGACATTTGGACTTTCCTCCCAAAAGAAGCTGAAATGCCTTCATGGTACTGACATATATACGTTCTGTATATAGATAAAATCGAACTATTTGCATAATTATCAGAAATGGCTACTAAAAGCATACTCTATTGTACGGTTCCGACAATAGCATGCACACGTTTATGAATCACTATGAAATAGTGATGATACAAGGTGTTCGCGAATGGGTGACTGTATCATGCACCGCTGGTGGCTCCCGTCATAAACACATGCAAAGTCAAGTCAATTGGTGTTATCAGTGAAAAAAACAGCATTTTGCATAATTTTCTCAGTATGCTTTCATTTTGACATTTTGTCTTGAGCATACAGAGGTATGGCAACACATGTGGTCACCATTGTTTCGTAACAAATAGCGGCGCAAACCAAATTCTCTCACCCGGTCATGAAAAGGAAAAGGTCGCTTGCCACTGGAATGTTTGTACGGTTTTAAATAAGTCCCTGCAGTATTCAGCAGTACGACGATTTAATTTGAGACGGTGACTTAGGTCAGATATACTGAACATCATTTTCTTAACGTATTTTAAATCCAGACACGTGACAGGAAGACTCGAACTGGGTTCGAGGTCGGCGTCTGGGTCGGGGTGGCATTAGCATTAAGGCCCACATCACGGAGGAAAGAGGTAGGGACAGGGGTAGAGGTGGGAGTAACGGGCAGATCTAGCAGGGGATCAAGGGTAGTCATGTATCTCCCATTAGGACGCCAACAGGGAGGGAGAGACATAAACTAGAGGATGATTGTAGTCATGTGTTTTACTTTTACTGATATAATGCTGGAAAACCTACTTAGTGTAGAAGATGCAGGGAAGTAGCTAATGGAAGAGAGATACAAATACACACAATGACAGTTTCAAATTATCTTCTAGAATATCAAAGATTCCTAAAGATTCTGATCTCGAGGTCAATAGCTGTCGGGAAAGAAGGAATGGTTGTCTTATATATGAGTAAACGAGACGGTATAAGACGTTTGGAAATATTTACACCACTCTCACTCGTGAACACAATACAAAGGCCGATGGTGAGTTTAATAGTTTAAATAAACTAAATGTTGAGTCAACTACTCAGATAATGAATTTCTCTGGTGAGTACATGTGATCATGGTATGGTGTGAGCATGTGACAGATCGATTTTAGATATCCACTGATTACCCGACTGTCAGTCAGATTGGTTAGTGACCCAACCATGTAGCATAAGCACTCGTAAAAGCACCATGACAGTCAGATCTGTTTTGATGATCGTGTGATTATATCGGCATTGTATTCTCTTCAGCCTCCGACGCTAGTCCGCAAACACTATATTTTTAAACTGTGCTGAGGAAAATTACAAATCCAAGGATCTCAGTCCCCATTTCCTCGTTACGTATCAGCAAAGTATATATGCTACAGTGAATATGTCAAATCAGTGATTTTGTAAAATCACTGAAAATTTCATGAAATGATTGGTCATGATCACCTATCTGTTTGGGTTGTAATTGAGTCACTTCAAAAGGATCAAGCCTTGGTATCAACAGCTCTACTCCAGATGACCTAAGGCCTGCCACCACGAAGGAGGATGAGGATGGCGACTGTGACACTTCAAAAGAGACTGAAGCAACTGTGTATTGACTACATCAACAACGAAAAAACAATGGAAGAATTTCTGTTGGTGCGACTATTAGAATGAACAATAAAGTGCTATTCATTTTTAACTATCAATGTGCTATATTATATGCTATTTCTGTGAAGTTTATAAAATTAAATAATAACATATAATTTATATCATGTTGTATTATTATTGTGGGCAAAGTTCCTCCCCTGTAAAAATTGTTGTGGGCAAAGTTCCTGTGGGGAAAGTTCCCGTGGGGAAAGTTCCTGTGGGGAATGTTCCTGTGGGCAAAGTTCCTTGTGGGCAAAGTTCCTGTGGGCAAAGTTCCTGGATTCCTATTAGAGATCATGTACTATTAGATGGTCTCTGGTAGCATGTTAACAAGGAAGAGCGAATGAGTTGCAATCGCATTACGGAAGTATATGTTATTAATCATGCAATGTTTCACTCGCATCACAACTGTACGTGGTTCCTGTCAAGAACGCAGTCCTTCTGGCACCACCTGTTCATTTTCTGTTGACGAGCGGTGAAAAACACTTATTCATATCCACACACAAGTGTATTGAGAATGTTGTGGTATTGTTATTGTCAATAATGTGTTTTCAAATTAACATATGCCACTTTCATGTCAACCCATAGACCTAGCTTGTCAGAAACCCCAAACAGAATTATGGTACACGGTTTTTAGTATGCATGAAGTTATCTCCCTTCCTTATGTCCCTGCAATGGCGTCTAACTTTGGCAACTGGCAATGTGCTATCGATAATTTGACAACGACAGCCAAAAGTGACGGGTGTCTGAAGTCCTTCTTTAATTTGGATAACAACTACAAACGAATTGCGTTTATTCACAAGAAAAACTTTATAAAGTAATGAACATTATTTAATTTATGAGCCATGTGTTACCTAATTTCGTGATAATGGTCTTTCCCCCGTGAGATGCAAGATGCGCGTTATTGCACACCTTTTAATAAACTGTGTGTGACGGATCGCATAATTAATAGAGAGGGGGTTTCACAGATCACTTCGTCTCTATTCAGTTAATGATTTTGGTAATATCAAACAAGACAGGTGTCCTGTGAAATGCATGTGTCCTGATCAGTGCAATTATTCAGCAACAAACAAGTGTTTCCCCCTTTCACCAAATGGCTAAATACCTTCAGTGAAAGTTGCACAATGAAGACCTATCTCTGTCATTGTGCGTGTCACTCTGCGTGTGTGTTAATTCTGTCAGTCTATCAAAACTGCAATACTGATGGAAAACTTTCACCATTATTTTCATTTTGCTGTAATGTTGGGAAAAGTAATACCGTATTATTATATTATTATAGAGTTTGTCACTCCAAACAGTGAACAATAGATCTACACTATACTTGTAGTGATGTAGCATGGTTGCCTCTGTACTGGGACAACTGTCACAGCATGCTGAGAAAGTCGACAGAAAAGGCAGTGCGTTACCGTGACGATGGCAACAAGTACTTTCAGAAGAAGCAGTATAAAAGTGCCATTCAGTGTTACACAAAGGTAGGATGTAGCAAATGTAAAGCAAGTATTGTAGTTCACAACACTGATTTACTGACATCCTATGATTATGTTATTTTACCTAACCAATGCTAAACATGATAAAAGAGGCTGTGATTCACAATGTATGTACAGTGTTTGCCATGACGCAGAAAACCTGCATACATATCTGACTCCCAAAAACATGTCCATGACACCCTCTCATGACACCAGGGTGTCATGATTAGGGGACCATTCATAAATTAGGGGTGGGGGGTGGGGGGAGAGAAGAAATGATGATTTCAAGGGGGGTAACCCATTTTGTTCTGGGGAGGTAGGAGGGGGTCATCAATTTTGTACATCTAGATAATTAAAAAATTATGCTTAAAAATTGTGGGAAGGGGAGTGGGGTCATTGATTTTGTACATGATATACAGGGGGGGGTGTCACTTACTTTGTACGTAAATTTTACATGCTTCTACATAAAAATCATCATCAACCCCCCTTGCCATAAATTATGAACGGTCCCTTACTCCTAATTTTTTATGCCTTGTCCAAATACTGTATATATATTTAGTATTCCATACTGGTGCTGCTCTGACATTCTTGTACTTACAGAGCATCCAGCATGCTTCCACGGCTGAGCTGCAACAGAACCAAGCATTTGCTCTTGGTCTAGGGAACAGATCTGCTGCACTGTTCTACCTCAAACAATATCAGGTTTGTGATAATATCGAATAAACGTCTTTCATAACAATCAACTCTTAAGTTGCCTTGCTGATGATTCAATATCATAATCTGATTTCATGTTAATGCTGAAATAATTAAATATACAGTGAAGATTCAAGAAGTTTTAAATCTTTTCACATGATATCCGATCCATTGCCCTTCTAGAAGGCTTGGGTGGTCCAGTGGTCTTAGGTACAGGAATACTCTTTGCAGAGTTGCATACCTTTGTTATGCCAGAATCTGATGCTGGTGCAAAGTCTAGATTCATACAAGTTGTCAGCACCCATGAAGTGGTAAAGGCCTGTGACAGGTGTCATTTTGAGCTTTCTTCCCTCAATAAGTTGACATGCTGTCTAACTGGAATAGTTACAGGCATGTCTAAGAGATATCACAGACATAACTGAAATAGTGGTCAAGGCAGTGATAAACCCTGTCATTCACTCAACCTGACCATGTCCATCATGACCGTGTCCATCATGACTGTGTCCATTGGTTGATGTGAGGGACATTACATTTTGGAGATGGCTTCTACATGACAACCATTTTGACTTGCTACTGATGATGAACTTCCATCACTGTTTGTTTCCTTCAGGCATGTCTAGGAGATATCACAATGGCCTTGACCAGTGGTTGTCCGTGCCCCACTGCTGACAGGCTGAAGATTAGGAAGATTCACTGCCTGGTCAATCTGGGGCGTGGACAGGAAGCGCAGCAAGGTAGACTGGATGTAGAAGTTACATCAAAACTATGTTTATACCTACATCATATGCTATTATTTTGTCAATTTAGTTTGTTGTACAAGATACTATATAGTCTGTTGTACAGGATATAGTTTAGTTAATTGTCCACGTATGGACCTAGCTACTCTCTGGTTATTTTCAGCCTCTTGAATCTGAAAACAGTATTTCTATGAGTGACTACCCATCAAATTGTGCAATTGATTTACATGCATACTGCCACAGTTGTACACTGTAGGAAAGATGTACCTAAACATAAGTTCCTTTGGTTGTATTAAATAGGACATTAAAAGGATGAAATGGCTTATAAGTATTTACTCCTTACATTTCATTGTTGGAAGTATATATATCAGACTGGAGGTGTTTGCCTGGTTAAATGTGTGTTGATATGATACTCTGGTTCATGCTCCAGCCATCAGAGACTTCAAGAAACACTTGTCAGGTCATACCGACACCGAAAAGAAGGTGAAAGGTATGATCACATCTAATTGAATTTAGACAGGTATTTTCTTTATCTCATTACATTCTCATCTTGTACTCTGATGCGTCTATGCATAAAGCTCGCAGGATACCTCCATAGAAGGTTACATTAGTGAACTCTGAACCAACCAAATGTCAGCTTTCAAATAAGATTCAGCTTCGTTTTCATCCATCAGAAGATAATATACCACCCATAGTATCTACTTTCGGGTGTAAATGCCATCACACCCAACACAGGCTGTTTATAATATCCATGACAAGGCTATAGTACAGTTTTACTCTCCTTTTGGATTTGGAAGTCCTTAACAAAAATCATTTGGTGGATCAGATTCTGAATGCTCTGCTCGTTTGCGCTGAAACTTTCAAAGCATCCTCGCTGACTAGCCTGAAAGTTTGCCTGAGACTGTGGAGATGTCATAACATTTTCCCACAATCAGGTTATGAGAGGAAACATTTGTCTGGACCAACAATGTCAGTCCATATTTGTATACTTTATTCTTTTCTTTTTCTCCAGATAAATTAGAGGATGACATTGCCAGTCTGGAACATCAGCTGAGCCAGAATTGGTAATACATGCATCTGATCATTACCACCACCACATGCATATATGCAGCATCACCAATACATGCATATGTGTACCATCACCAACATGCATATGTGTAGCCCATCGACATGCACGTGTGTAGCATCACCATGCTGTGTGTGTACAGAATAGTCAACAAGTGTATGTAGCATCAACTATACATACATCGATGTGTGAATGGGAACAGAGAGCGAGACTTTCAGGTTTCTCCCCTAAGGAATATTAGACATGAGCCTTTTATCGTAATATGCACATACATTCAGTCATCATTTTTGCTGTGACTATAGTGAGACTGTGTGTGTCCCCTGTTTTGTGTAGGCTGGGGGAGCCTGATGGGCAGACAGACAGACAACTGCCCCAGCTGTTCCAGGGACCAAGTGAGGTCATCACACAAGCTTCTTTAGCTGTTGAAATGAAGCACACATGCAGCAAGGGACGACATCTTGTTGTGAGTGTGTTTCAGTCTGGTGATATGTAACATGCAACCTCTAAAATGTAATCAAATATATTATGGAGGATATAAGATGTTTTTTGCAAGTCTCACATTCTGTAAATGAGTATCTGTCAGCAGTCCCTCAGTAATACTCTACAAGTCTACACAGGATACCCTTCTGGTGAGGACGTCAGATCAAGCCATTTCCATATACAATCTGCACACAAGCATGTCTTGTATAATGATCCCTTCATCCTTATTTATGACAACAAACATCTTGGACCTGTTTTATTGTATCCTGTCAATCATTCAGAATCATTGACAAAGTGAGCTGAAGTCAATCTCTCTTTGCTATCCTGTACATGGGTAACTCTCTGGACATGATATTTTCTGCATATAGTTTGAGGTGTCTACTGCAGGCCAAGCAAGCCATCCCCGCAGGTGCCACCCTGATCGTGGAGCGTCCATATGCAGCAGTGCTCCTCCAAGACCACCTTCACTCTCACTGCCACAACTGCTTCCAGACCCTCTCACTGGCTCCAATACCGTATGTCAATACAACCTTATTGTATATCCTCTCACTGGCGCCAATACCGTATGTCAATACAACCTTATTGTATATCCTCTCACTGGCGCCAATACCGTATGTCAATACAACCTTATTGTATATCCTCTCACTGGCGCCAATACCGTATGTCAATACAACCTTATTGTATATCCTCTCACTGGCGCCAATACCGTATGTCAATACAACCTTATTGTATATCCTCTCACTGGCACCAATACCGTATGTCAATACAACCTTATTGTATATCCTCTCACTGGCTCCAATACCGTATGTCAATACAACCTTATTGTATATCCTCTCACTGGCACCAATACCGTGTATGTCAATACAACCTTATTGTATATCCTCTCACTGGCTCCAATACCGTATGTCAATACAACCTTATTGTATATCCTCTCACTGGCTCCAATACCGTATGTCAATACAACCTTATTGTATATCCTCTCACTGGCGCCAATACCGTATGTCAATACAACCTTATTGTATATCCTCTCACTGGCTTAATACCGTATGTCAATACAACCTTATTGTATATCCTCTCACTGGCGCCAATACCGTATGTCAATACAACCTTATTGTATATCCTCTCACTGGCGCCAATACCGTATGTCAATACAACCTTATTGTATATCCTCTCACTGGCGCCAATACCATATGTCAATACAACCTTATTGTATATCCTCTCACTGGCGCAAACTCTATTTTATATCCTCTCACTGGCACCAATACCGTATGTCAATACAACCCTATTGTATGTCCTCTCACTGGCACCAATACTGTATGTCAATACAACCCTATTGTATGTCCTCTCACTGGCACCAATACCGTATGTCAATACGACCCTATTGTATGGCCTCTCACTGGCACCAATACCGTATGTCAATACGACCCTTTTGTATGTTCTCTCACTGGCACCAATACCGTATGTTAATACAACCCTATTGTATGTTCTGTCACTGGCGCCAATACCGTATGTCAATACAACCCTATTGTATGTCCTCTCACTGGCACCAATACCGTATGTCAAAACAACCCTATTCTATGTCCTCTCACTGGCACCAATACCGTCTGTCAGTACAACCCTATTGTATATCCTCTCACTGGTGCCAATACCGTATGTCAATACAACCCTATTCTATGTCCTCTCACTGGCACCAATACCATATGTCAATACAACTCTATTGTATGTCCTCTCACTGGCACCAATACAACCCTATTGTATGTCCTCTCACTGGTGCCACTACCGTATGTCAATACAACCCTATTCTATGTCCTCTCACTGGCACCAATACCGTTATGTCAATACATCCTCACTGGCAATAATACAACCCTTTGTATGTTCTCTCACTGGCACCAATACCGTATGTTAATACAATCCTATTGTATGTCCTCTCACTGGCACCAATACAGTATGTCAATGCAACCCTATTCTATGTCCTCTCACTGGCACCAATACTGTATGTAAGTACAACCCTATTGTATGTCCTCTCACTGGCACCAATACCTTATGTCAATAAAACCCTATTGTATGTCCTCTCACTGGCACCAATACCGTATGTCAATACAACCCTATTCTATGTCCTCTCACTGGCACCAATACCATATGTCAATACAACCCTATTGTATGTCCTCTCACTTGCACCAATACCGTATGTCAATACAACCCTATTGTATGTCCTCTCACTGGCACCAATACCATATGTCAATACAACCCTATTGTATGTCCTCTCACTGGCACCAATACAGCCCTATTGTATGTCCTCTCACTGGTGCCAATACTGTATGTCAATACAACCCTATTGTATGTCCTCTCACTGGCACCAATACCGTATGTCAATACAACCCTATTGTATGTTCTCTCACTGGCGCCAATACTGTATGTCAATACAACCCTATTGTATGTCCTCTCACTGGCACCAATATCGTATGTCAATACAACCCTATTGTATGTCCTCTTACTGGCACCAATACCATATGTCACTACAACCCTATTGTATGTCCTCTCACTGGCACCAATACTGTATGTCAATACAACCCTATTGTATGTCCTCTCACTGGCGCCAATACCGTATGTCAGTACAACCCTATTGTATATCCTCTCACTGGTGCCAATACCGTATGTCAATACAACCCTATTCTATGTCCTCTCACCGGTGCCAACACTGTATGTCAATACAACCCTATTGTATGTCCTCTCACTGGCACCAATACCATATGTCAATACAACCCTATTGTATGTCCTCTCACTGGCACCAATACCATATGTCAATACAACCCTATTGTATGTCCTCTCACTGGCACCAATACAACCCTATTGTATGTCCTCTCACTGGTGCCAATACCGTATGTCAATACAACCCTATTGTATGTCCTCTCACTTGGCACAATACCGTATGTCAATACAACAATAGTATGTTCTCTCACTGGCATCAATACCGTTGTATGTCAATACAACCCTGTTGTATGTCCTCTCACTGGCGCAAATACCATATGTCAATACGACCCTATTGTATGTCCTCTCACTGGTGCCAATACCGTATGTCAGTACAACCCTATTGTATATCCTCTCACTGGTGCCAATACCGTATGTCAATACAACCCTATTCTATGTCCTCTCACTGGTGCCAACACTGTATGTCAATACAACCCTATTGTATGTCCTCTCACTGGCGCCAATACCATATGTCAATACAACCCTATTGTATGTCCTCTCACTGGCACCAATACCATATGTCAATACAACCCTATTGTATGTCCTCTCACTGGCACCAATACAACCCTATTGTATGTCCTCTCACTGGTGCCAATACCGTATGTCAATACAACCCTATTCTATGTCCTCTCACAGGCACCAATACCGTATGTCAATACAACCCTCTTGTATGTTCTCTCACTGGCACCAATACCATATGTCAATACAACCCTATTGTATGTTCTCTCACTGGCACCAATACCATATGTCAATACAACCCTATTGTATGTTCTCTCACTGGCACCAATACCATATGTCAATACAACCCTATTGTATATCCTCTCACTGGTGCCAATACCGTATGTCAATACAACCCTATTGTATGTTCTCTCACTGGCACCAATACCGTATGTCAATACAACCCTATTCTATGTTCTGTCACTGGCGCCAACACTGTATGCGATACTACCTTATTGTATTTCTTCTGTTTATCCTCTTACTGCCAAAACACTGTGTATCTGTTTCCACATGGGTTTATTCATGAATTGCTGAATGCATTGAAGGACATAAATACAAGCTGCTGAGAACCTGAGTTGTATTTACGACAATGATCGTTATTATTGTATGTGTGTATTGTGCTGCAGATGTATGGAGTGTTGTGTCATGTTGTACTGCAGTGTGGAGTGTCGTGACACTGCCTGGACCATGTACCACAACATTGAGTGCCAGTACCAAGATCTTCTCTCTTCTGTAAGTATCAGCCATCATTCCCTCATATTCTCCAAGCACAATGTCTGTAGTTGTTCCAGCTGTGAAGTTTCTCATACACCTCCCCAGTTAAATCACCTGTCAGTATGTTTATGTAACAGCCAGGCTTCTGTTCAGATAATCACCTGTCAGTATGTTTATGTAACATTCAGGTGTCTGATCAGATAATCATCTGTCAGTATGTTTATGTAACAGCCAAGTGTCTGTTCAGATAATCATCTGTCAGTATGTTTATGTAACAGCCAAGTGTCTGTTCAGATAATCATCTGTCAGTACGTTCAGATATCACCTGTCAGTATGTTTAGTAACAGGTCTGTTCAGATAATCACCTGTCAGTATGTTTATGTAACAGCCAGGTGTCTGTTCAGATAATCACCTGTCAGTGTTTATGTCAGGTAATCATCTGTCAGTATGTTTATGTAACAGCCAAGTGTCTGTTCAGATAATCACCTGTCAGTATGTTTATGTAACATTCAGGTGTCTGTTCAGATAATCACCTGTCAGTATGTTTATGTAACAGCCAAGTGTCTGTTCAGATAATCATCTGTCAGTATGTTTATGTAACATGTCTGTTCAGATAATCACCTGTCAGGTGTGTTCATGTAATCAGTCACCTGTCAGTATGTTTATGTAACAGCCAGGTGTCTGTTCAGATAATCACCTATGTGTCTGTTCAGATAATCATATGTTTATCAGGTGTCTGTCAGTAATCATCTGTCAGTTATGTAACAGCCAGGTGTCTGTTCAGATAATCACCTGTCAGTATGTTTGTTCAGATAATCACCTGTCAGTATGTTTATGTAACAGATAATCACCTGTCAGTATGTTTATGTAACTCAGATAATCACCTGTCAGTATGTTTATGTAACAGCCAGGTGTCTGTTCAGATAATCACCTGTCAGTATGTTTATGTAACATTCAGGTGTCTGTTCAGATAATCACCTGTCAGTATGTTTATGTAACAGCCAGGTGTCTGTTCAGATAATCACCTGTCAGTATGTTTATGTAACAGCCAAGTGTCTGTTCAGATAATCACCTGTCAGTATGTTTATGTAACAGCCAAGTGTCTGTTCAGATAATCACCTGTCAGTATGTTTATGTAACAGCCAGGCTTCTGTTCAGAAAATCACCTGTCAGTATGTTTATGTAGCAATGAGTTTTACTGAGCTAGTTATTTTTTGCACGGATATATCCTGCTGCCACATACTGGTCTTGTGTTTACTGTTACACATGGGGTTTTACTGAGCTGGTTATTTATAGCAAGGATATCTACTGCCACACACTGGCTTGGTGTTAACTGTTTAGTATAGCATTCAGACACAACTACTCATTGCAGGTTGGCATTGCTCACTTGAGTTTGAGAATCATATTGACGGCAGGTCTTCAGTTCCTCCTAGGTGAGTGTGAAGTTTACAGCCTTCTGCTCATAACAATGTCTTAGAGCAGCCATCTCTACCATTCCAGTGTGAGCATATTCTTAATGATCATCTCACTGTAACACTCTGTGTCATGTCTTTCACTGAATCCAGTAACACAAGAATCAAAGATTACAGAGTGTTGTAAGAAAAACTACTGTACTTGTTTGCAAAGAAATGATTGTAGACTTCTGCAGAAACAAATCAGGCAGCCTTAAATGGAGTTGCAATAGATAAAGAGAAATCATCATTTAACTGGACATTTGTACCTGGGTAACATCACATATAACAAACTGCCAATGCAGACTACATCAACAGACAGGGTCAATAATGACTGTGTCAAGGTATTCACACAACAGTTCTATTCAGTTTTATTGGCTACAGATTTTAACTTTTAAGTCTATCTTATCATATGCGGTTTAAGTAATTTGTAACAATTGATCCACAATTGTGCAGCATTCAGTGACCAGGACAGAGACAGCGTTATACGAGGGCTGACAGTAGGACCGAAGTACCAGCGAGACTACCTGGCAGTGCATGATCTGTTGACTCACGAACAGGACATGGAGGCTGAGGACTTGTTCCAGTACTCCCTGGTAGGTTCCTCTCTTGCAGCCTATCATTCCAGTCAATCATTCAAACAGTACTCACTGGTAGGTTCCTTCCTCGCAGTCAATCATTCCAGTCAATCATCATTCAAACAGTACTCACTGGTAGGTTCCTTCCTCGCAATCAATCATTCCAGTCAATCATCATTCAAACAGTACTCCCTGGTAGGTTCCTTCCTTGCAGTCAATCATTCCAGTCAATCCTTCAAACAGTACTCCCTGGTAGGTTCCTTCCTCGCAATCAATCATTCCAGTCAATCATTCATTCAAACAGTAGTAAATGGCAGTGCATGGTTTGCAGGAATCCAGAGGGTAGATGACTACTTTCTCAATCATACAGTTGGAGATGAAATTAACACATCACCAGTTACCCTTGTTAATTTGGAGCTTCAATTTCTAAATCGCCTTCAGGCTGTCATGACACATATTTCTCACTTTAGTTATGTAACTTTTTGCCAAGATTCAGATAAAGATGGAGAGCATGTGCGTAATGTGAAGACTTTTTACATTTTCCTGTGATCGTACAGGGTGTCTTAGTACATCAATGCTGACAGCAGCTTAGTTTTCTGTCACTGTTGACATATCAAACTGTTGATTATGTTGCCAGCGCAGCTTCAGTGCTGTTGTCTTCTGTTTTACTGAACTTTGAACTTCCATCACTGTAGATATTTTAAAGATATATTCATAGCAGCACCTTCCAGTAAACTGAGTGACTATGCTGTCTGCATGAACGTATTGTTGCAGACAGCATACTTACTTCTGCGGGTGTTGATTGATGTGGGCTGGCTCCCTGATGGCGCGTCCCTGGAGGACGAGCTGACAGACAACATGATGTGCATAGGCAGCTTCCTGCTGCGACATATCCTGCAGCTGGTGTGCAATGCACATGCAATCTCGGAGCTACAGGTGTCTCAAGTTGCTGACAGCAACCTGGTGGACAGCAAGAGTCAGGTCCGTGTGGCCACAGCAATATATCCCACAGCTAGTTTGATAAACCACTCTTGTGATCCTACCATCATCGCAAGGTCAGTATGAAGACAGACACTAGTGCGGCCCTTATGCCAAGATAAATAACAGTAGGAACTTGTCACACTTGTGGAAATTCAGTATGATTAGCTGTAAAATCTCAAAAGTTTTACAAAAAATGCATGTCTTTTGCTCGCATTATTGTAGCAATGCGTTTTGTTTCAGGAGAATGTAGTCATAACTGGTTTAGGGATGGAAACATTGAGATAAGTGAGAAACTCACTATAAACAATGTCACTGAACAGTACATACCAGAACTAGTTTTACTACCATAGTTAAAACCAGTCAGACCATCATATGTATTGACTGTATACATGTATAGGTATAAAAACAGTGTGTAATACACAAATAAATACAAGTACATAAAAACATTGTGTTTAAAATATGCTGCTAGTCTGTGATCTAAGTGATCAAACTTACAACACCACATAAATGATGACTGTGATCAGTCTAGGTGTATTGTGAAGTGCTGGTGAAATGCTGAGTGCTAGGTTACCATATATGACCTTAGATTAGCTGGTCTCATAGGTAAGTCAAGATCCTAACTTGACCCTTAAAATCTATATCAAAATGGTATGTTCCATACATAATATGAACTACCAGCCTTTGTTCATCTTCTCATCATGATCATTCTTCGGAAATGGAGTGTGAACAAATCCATTTCGAATTCAGCAAGTAAATCCTGTTAGTAAGTTAGCTTAGACTTAAACATAGAGATGATTAAAGACTTGAAGAAACTTCAACCCAGAGGTTGTTGTTCTGCTGCAAGCACCATTGTAGATGCAGTACACCAGCTGTGCTTGCTAAGATCTTTTAAAGCACCACTGTAGATACATTACACCAGCTGTGCTTGCTGATATCTTTTAAAGCACCACTGTAGATACAGTACACCAGCTGTGCTTGCTAATATCTTTTAAAGCAAAACTGTAGAGTGTGAATATATCATTTCAGTATGTGATGTAAAAATACCCAAAGTCACACAAGTTTATGATGCAATGTTTGAGCTAAGCTTGTGAGATACTATTATAACCAAGCGCAACACTGGTCCCCAATATAGCGACAGTGTAACTGTTTCCTTGTGTGACGTCAGCTTCCAGAGAGACACGCTGGTGGTGAGGTCAGTGAAGGACGTAGCAGTCGGGCAGGAGATCTTCAACTGTTACGGTCAGTAGCAAACTTTTTTTGTGGCAGTTAGAGAGTCTGAAAAGACTGCCATTATTGTTTACAGAATGTGCAAGCTTTATGTAGATTACTGTATTGGATTCTTTCCAAATGGGTCCTCCTGAGAGGGTACGTAAGTCCCAAAACATTCAAAGTAAATTAAAATGTTCCACTTTTCTAGTCGTAGAATACCTGTTCTTTTAATGTATGGCTAGATTTGCTAAATTGCTAACGGCTGAAGGGATGGTGTAAATCCAGCTAGGGCCCATGCAGGAAGCAAATGTACTGTAAGTCCCCATGGTCCCTAGTATGGTGACCTACCTTCCGTCGTGATCTATAGCCTGTTTTTATATTGTATTGTCATGTATAGTTAAAATATTTTAGTTCAATTACTAGTTTTATATTTATATCTGTGATAATCTAGTTGTTTTACTGTCCTTCGTTGACAGAATTTTATAATTTACCTGTAATTGTTAATATTTTTTAACTTGACTTAGTCACAATATGGCTGAAATATTGCCGATGTGACGTAAAATCTTAAATCACTCACTCACTTTCCAAATGGAGTTGTTAATGAACATGTCCTTCAGAACTGTTGGATAGATGAAACTAAACATGGTGGAAGGGGTTCTTCTCAGTAGGGGAGCTATATGGCAGTCCTGTATTTGCTGACGACATCTACTGAGAAACAATATGTCCATCTTGTGAATACGGACATGGCCGCTGGTAATCAGCTGCAGAATGTCTATTTGGTTGTTTAATATAGCTGGACATGTGTGTAAACATGGAAGACACTGGACATGTTTCCTCATTCTATGCAAGTTGATGTTTCATCCAGTATTGGCTGATTTGTGACCATGGCTTATTATTTTGTCATTGTCTATATGTTTAGAGTTACTGATATATACTTCAAGAGGTTTACATTTTACTTATATAATCTCAAAGCATCTTCTTCGTCAGTTATTGATCACTCTTCACCTACACAATGTCTGATGTGTTGCCAGGGCCCCACTGTAAGCGTATGAGCCTTACAGATAGACAACAGGCTTTAAGTAGCCAGTACTTCTTCCACTGTCAGTGTCAGGCCTGTGTTCAAGAAGAGCAGTCGATACAGCAAGATGAGGTAAGCACTGGCTAAATGTGTACTGGGAACAGTCAGATAACATTAAGATGGGGTACTGGTTGCTTATCCTTATGTGCATGTGCTGTTTATTCACTTAATTATATGCCACTTTGGCATTGCATAAGCCATCTATTTATCAGCTACTCCTCTGTCAAGTGCACAATGGCTTGTCACTGATTGATGTATATTTTAGAATACAATAATATATTATCTTGCTAGAGGAATGGTAATCTTTCTTGAATCTGAATGACCTCTCTAGTGTGAATGAAGCTGCTGACAGTAGTACTGGTTACAGGTCCCGCAGTGTCCAGCATGTGGTGTTGACCAGGTCAGTGCCCCAGCTCAGTGCCCAGTCTGCTTACACAACAGTGAGACGCTGGCTTCGGACACAAAACAGGCTGACCGCCTCTTCCAGCAAGGTCTTGACCGGCTGCAACAGATGGATATCGCAGGTAGCTGTCCACCAACTTTAAGACATGAACAATATATGCTCTCATGACAATGACTTGCCTTCAGACAGATGTTGCACTGTTCGAAACCACTGATGCTCTCACATCTGCATTGATTCGCTTCTGGCTACAGTATTCTAGTTTCTCCTTGTAGGTGCTATAGTGAGTTTCAGCCAGTGTGTTGAGCTGAGGGAGAGATCCATGGACAGGCACCAGACACCCCTATGTGAGGCCCGCGATTGTCTGGCCAGGTGTCATGCAATGACAGGTAAACAAAAGGTCTTTCAGCTAGCGTGGGACAGACATTATCAGTCACTAAGGCTGTTGAGGAAATTATATTCAGTTCTTCTCATTTACAATATATAAAGAATTCTTGCCAGTAAACAATATATCATGTGACCAACCATGGGGTTGTGTATACTGTTTTGATTGGTCAAGTTGTGATTATTCTCAGCCCTTCATAACTAAACTGTAATGTGAATATGCCTCTACTCTGTGCATATTAATATAGGATCAATGGAAGGAGGCACCTCTAGTGTGGAAATGACTGGCTGAATGTTATATGTGGCAGAATCGGCTTCAGGCAGTTGACCTTGTCCAGCCTGTGGTTGAAGGAGCCACATCTAGTGTGGAAATGACTGGCTGAATGTTATACGTGGCAAAATCGGCTTCAGTCAGTTGACCTTGTCTAGTCTGTGGTTGAAAGAGCCACTTCTAGTGTGGAAATGACTGGCTGAATGTTATACGTGGCAGAATCGGCTTCAGTCAGTTGACCTTGTCCAGCCTGTGGTTGAAAGAGCCACTTCTAGTGTGGAAATGACTGGCTGAATGTTATACGTGGCAAAATCGGCTTCAGTCAGTTAACCTGGTCCAGCCTGTGGTTGAAGGAGCCACACCTAGTGTGGAAATGACTGGCTGAATGTTGACCTGGTCCTGTCTGTGGTTGATGTTACCCATATAGTCTAGGTAGGAAGATACACATATCCAGGTCACACCTGATTTGTATTAACCGTAGGAAACTGGAGAGTGCCATGTCCCCCCATGAGGAGCTGGAAATTATGGAATGTTTTGTATATATTTTGTATAATTCATAATGTTTTAGTTCTAGTGGTGCAGAGAGTTCCAATAGAGCAGTTCTTTATATGCCACACTCTGTCCATATACTTATCTGATTGATTATTCTCCTTGTGTTGTATCTCAGGACAGTTCAGCCTTGCGTCCAAGTACCTGGAGTTAAACCTTTCTGCCTCGGAGCTCAAGTATGGAGACTCCAGCATAGAGCTGGGCTATGAGCTGCAGAAGCTGGCACAAGTTTTCTTTAACGATAAACAAGTTGGCAAGGCACTGAATGTCATAGATAGAGCTCTTGGTATACTCACCATCCACTTTGGGAAGAACTCTGGTAATGAAGACATTGAGGAACTGGTGCAGATGAAATCATGTCTGATAGAGTACCAAGCTGGAACAGACACATGACCACAAAGGAACACGAGGGCAGATTAATGCATTCACACAATCAACTTTCCACTGGCCCTAAGTGTTTGGAAGAACTAAGCAACCACAAGACTACTGACCAACTGCTGTGTGTGTGTGTGTGTCCGAGCCACCAGGCAAATGTGACCTCTGCCTTTTCAGATTGATGTAGACCAGTCTCCACCTGTTGAGGTCAACATTGTGTGATAAACGTGTTTTTCAGTGGCTTGAATGGGATGTGGAGACGTCTGGCATGAAAGATGAAATGTTTATCAGGGGCTTGAAGGGGATGTGGAGACGTTTGGCATGAAAGATGAAATTCCTGGTCTTGAAGGAATAATATGAAACATTTGATATCAACTGATCCTGTGGATCGGGTGATTCTTCAGCACAGAAATAAATATTGGAGTATACTCAATTTGTCTTATGTTGCAATTCAGAAATAGCATGACAGCTGTACATGCATCCACTCTCAGCTTCAGTATACATCTGAGTGCTGTCGGGGCAGTTCACAAACAATGGTGAAACCTGTTGAATTATGTCCCACCTGTCAGGTTGGTTAGGCTCTACAAACTATGCGTGGTAAGTATTAATCCTTCATTCTGTACATAGCCCCTTGTCAATGAGGCAGCATACCCGTTTTCAAGTCAACCCAGAAGTCTATGTGCAAAAGAATTCAGTGTGAAACCAAGAAAAACAAACAATATACAATAAAGAAGTAAATCATTTCGTCAACTAGATTTCCAATTCAGTTCAAATTAATAACAACCCAGTCACACACGGAAAACATTCTCTGCACCTGGAAATTGAGACCGTGTGTACTCTCGTCCCTCGGCAGACAATATACTGGGTGTGGGTTTAAGATGAGGAAGTCTTTCTGTATTTAACGAACACATAAAAGTGCCATGGAATCTAGTAACTTTCAAATGGCAACCATGACAGCCCCTTTTCAATTCACTGTTGAGTAGACCCTTTTGAAAAAAAATGTTTTTTGATTTGTACCCGAATGGAAGAGATGTCATATTTGGTTCACAATAGTAGAAAATAATAGCCAACATTGGAAATTGCTTCGTGTTTATACAAAGATCTGGACCCGGAACAGACCGCGGGTTTGGCAAAACCGTGTAAGTGCTCACCACCTTGGCAAACCTCATCCAGTTATATTCGCATTTTAAACTGACACGCGGTTAAATAACCGACATGTTGGACACGGCGTCAGACCTACCCATCTACTATTGAGAGGTACGGGTAGGACAGCAGTCTACGGCACCGCAATTCCCGGTGTAGAGCTGCGGCCTGCACACGTGCCAGAAACCTCCACTTTGTCCGAACCCCAAAATTCGCTTCTGTGCTCGTTGGTACTAGTAGTGCGTCGTCATGGTATGGGTGACCCACTGCTATAAGCGGTGTTAAACCAAACTCACTACTTCGGGGACATCGTTATCAGTGTGTTATCATGTCTATGTATGTAGCTGATACTCTGGCCAGCAGATACCAGACGACCTATATCAGTGTTACACGGTAACAACATGGATGTGTATTTCTCTCTACCAACGTTCAAGTAATATTTATAACGGGAGGTGAGACATATTTTTCAGATATATCATATCATATTATTTTGACGCATGAGAACACTGAAACTTGAAATGAACGATGATGATGGATACATGTTTTATCCTGAGCGCTATGGCTTTCACAGGAACTTCAGAGGTTAAAGATGAATAGCATACAATGCCATAGGCAGATTGTTGTGTATTGATATCAGTGAATGCAAAATTGTGATCGAGTAGATACTAGAATAGAGACCGTTACCAACACAGCATACTGTAGATAATTTTCTGTAATTGGAATTTCGTATATTTCCTCCAATAAACATGTTCGCGTATTCCTGAAAAGTACGTACTTCGAATTGCTGAGTCCATAGAAAATATTCTCTGTGTTTCGCATATAGCATCAGCGACTGGTTGCATGCCTGGGTGAAACATTAACCGTGACAGAAGTATCAAGAGATTGTCATCTATTCTTACGAAATGTGTACCATTTGTAATTTTACGTTTCTCCGCATGAAATTTGTTTTTTTACTAATTTCATCTGTTCATTTCATGTTAATATTGGGCGGCAGGCTTGGTAGGCATCAAAGACAGAAATTGTTATTCTGTTGATCTGCTATTCATATGTGTGACTCAGGGTAAAACGTCAGTCAAGATCAGCGAAATGCGCATGTCTCCAATAATAGTATAACATTTCGAGGGAATATTCATCTAGTGTCAACAAAACAGATTTCATTTTCGATAAGGTATTGTCCCTTTCGTCGATACCCAGAGCATATCTTCAAATGTTTTAATTTTGTTAGAATTTATGTTTATTATGATGTCTCCATAAAAGTGTAATCCACGGTACCCCACGAAAATGACCATATAATTATTTTAAAGATTATATGTATTCATTAGATAGTATGCCTTATGTATAGTTTTATATTTGGTCAATACAATATCAATCTCATATCCACTACATTTCAGCCGATTTCTCACCATGATGCTAGGATTTTTAAGGATGTAATCTACGTGATCACCATAAGATAAAAACTGTGCACCCAGTGTCACCAAAAGGGTTTAAAATGAATGGACCTATTCAGTAGTAATAACAAAGTGAAGGAGATTACACTTTAAACGTTTGGTGGGTGCTAAAGGACGTTTGTGTAGTCTAAGTTATGTAATCTACGTGACCTCATTTTCAAAGGGCATCATTTATTCGCGATATGCACACGCTAGTTACGTACCATTGGCACTGAGCGTCCACTGGTTCGAGAAGTAATATTGGCTCTGTCATCCAAGCGCCATTAGCTCATGACATGACGGACCTTTTCTTTAGTAGCGTGATTGAAATGTGCACGATTGTTCAGTGACACTTTACAGGTCATCACACACTATCAGGGCTACTGAGGTATGACAGTTTTGTGGATCTAAGGTTATGGCATGAACTCTTCTAAACATTAAATGATTATTTACTTTTAATTGGCTTATCATTGTTGATATTCTACATCAAACCAAGCAGGAAACGTGATTACATTTTGGATGAATTTTCATTGTGTTTCTGTACTGTCTGTACTTTAAATAATGAATGAAACAAAGAAACAGTTAATCACTTTTGTATCTTTTCATGTAACTCTCTGTAATAGTATAGCAACATTTCACCAGTATTTTTTCTAACTTTATATGTAGATATGTTAGTGTTACGGTAACGTAGATTACAAGATTGTATTTAATTTGTATAATGGCCTAGTTTTGTTCTTTATCACAATATAATACAGATAAAACTTATGTGAAATATATTTCCAGTAACACTTAGTTAAAAACACGTATGTATAGTACGTTTCATGATCAATTTATGTAAATTAGTTTACCCAATTATGGTACCCAATAATGATTGACGATCTCGTTTTCTCCTTCACATCTGACTTTTGATAGTTTTACTTTCGTGAACAATAAATGATGTTCTAACAATAAAATGACATCATTTGAAAAAAGAACTTTAATTTTCTTATCAGTTCCAGTTATCAGTTGGTGCAGCTATCAGTAAGTGTTGTGTTCGTCATTGGTAGGTTGAGGATACGCTTGCTGCATGCATAAGTGACTTATTTATAGTAACGGATATATCACCACGTCACACCATCAGTGCACTGTGACACACTGACTGACTGACTGATTTTGGTTTTACGCCGCTTTTAGCAATATTCCAGCAACATCACGGCGGGGGACACCAGAAATGGGCTTCACACATTGTACCCATGTGGGGATTCGAACCCGGGTCTTCGGCGTGACGAGCCAACGCTTTAACCATTAGGCTACCCCACCGCCCCGCACTGTGACACACAGTCAACTTTGTCACACCATCAGTGCACTGTGACACACAGTCAACTTTGTCACATCATAGGTCACAAAGACACTCAGTCACAAGCCAGCACACCAGTCTATTCTGTTCTTATTCTTGTTTATTACGGAGTCCCCAAACACAAGCATCTTCCTGATTTCATCCCCACTGTTCCACAGGTATGTCTTCATTGCTGATCTTGGCGGCGGCCGTGGTGGTCAGTGTGCAGTGCACTTATTATGGCCTGGATAAAACAGTGTGTTCGCCGGTAGTCCAGAAAAGTACGTCTACACAACATTCACATATTTGTACATTTTGTATATACTGGTACTTCATAATTATACACTAGCATGGAAGTATATATATACACTGGTTTGGAAGTGCACTTTATATACACTGGTTTGGAAGTGCACTTTATATACACTGGTTTGGAAGTGCACTTTATATACACTGGTTTGGAAGTGCACTTTATATACACTGGTTTGGTGGAAGTGCACTTTATATACACTGGTTTGGAAGTGCACTGTATATACACTGGTTTGGAAGTACACTTTATATACACTGGTTTGGAAGTACACTTTATATACACTGGTTTGGAAGTGCACTGTATATACACTGGTTTGGAAGTACACTTTATATACACTGGTTTGGAAGTACACTTTATATACATTGGTTTGGTGGAAGTGCACTTTATATACACTGGTTTGGAAGTGCACTGCATATACACTGGTTTGGAAGTGCACTGCATATACACTGGTTTGGAAGTGCACTTTATATACACTGGTTTGGAAGTGCACTTTATATACACTGGTTTGGAAGTGCACTGCATATACACTGGTTTGGAAGTGCACTGTATATACACTGGTTTGGAAGTGCACTGTATATACACTGGTTTGGAAGTGCACTGTATATACACTGGTTTGGAAGTACACTTTATATACACTGGTTTGGAAGTGCACTTTATATACACTGGTTTGGAAGTGCACTTTATATACACTGGTTTGGAAGTGCACTGTATATACACTGGTTTGGAAGTGCACTTTATATACACTGGTTTGGAAGTGCACTTTATATACACTGGTTTGGAAGTGCATTTTATATACACTGGTTTGGAAGTGCACTTTATATACACTGGTTTGGAAGTGCACTTTATATACACTGGTTTGGAAGTGCACTTTATATACACTGGTTTGGAAGTACACTTCATGTACACTGGTTTAGAAGTGCCATCATATAGACGTTCACAAAACGTACAGACACACGTACAAGGGTCATATCACCAAATGTTCACGGCGTCTTATAGATGGAATATGGGGGCAATACATTTCCAGCTATCAATACATATAATGCTCATACTGTGTGCTTTTAGCATATAGTATTTCGCCGGTACTAATGCGGTCCTTATTCCAGTGATTGCCCCGCCCCCTGCCATCACGACCGGCAAACTGTACTCCGTGAACATAGACTGGCGGGAACTCATCAGCCAGCGGACGTACAACGTCAGAGAGTACTACGACGATGAACGGAAGCTAAGCAGTCTCTACATCCAGATTCCACCCCAGCAGAACGTCAAGGTCATCTTTGACTACAACACTGACGTGGCGCTCACCATCCACCTACCAGACAGTCAAAGTAAGTCACACGGCGAGCACTGTCTTGTCGGAGGAAACTGCTCTAGCAGCACACATGTGATGGGGAAGCGATGAAGCGATGAACAATGCAGATCCTGTGTTTCAGACGCTATGGGGACGTGCAGCGTGAGCCGAATTGGAACGCAGATGTACCGTTACAACGGCAAGCCGTGGCTCACATCCATCATGCTGCTGTACCGAGCCATGATCGCCTCCAAGGACGTAAGTGCCCCCACTGCTCGGACTTGCCGCGTGGAATCAGCTATAGAATCCTTTCACCCAACAAACGTTATTTTGAAAAATAACTTTCATATAGAGTTTCATTAGGTTCCTTCAAAAATAACTCTCTTCGTTATATCAACCTGTCAACTTTAACCTAATATACATGTAATCTAAGCAGCAGCCCCTGAAAAAATATAAATGCCTCTGAAGACTTGAATTCGCATCCTCCCAACAAGAGAATATCGCGATATGAATCTTACGTGCGCCTTACATAACCTTGTAGGGGGGATTCCTGGTAGGGATATTTCCCCGGCAGTAGGCTTGTCTGGTTCAGGCTCGTGTTGATGCCGACATATAGCTGGAACATAGGTCATTGGCGCGTTGAGACATAATATATTAACAAAACAATGTATGGTATGATTAAGACACTAACGATGTATGGTAGTGGGTGACGGGCACACTACCACAAAATACCAACACCTTCCCCTTCAGAGGTCATGACGTCACGTTCTTGTTGCCAGACTCAATATGTGGCTAATTCCACTGTGAAGTTCATCCGGTCGTACCCCGTCAGCGAATGGAGTGCCTGCATGTATGACTTCTCCATTGACATCACCACCAAGACGAAGCTGTTCTTTATAAGTAAGTTTGTCACAAGTCATACGAAAACTTAAAATACTACCTGGACGGGTCATCATCTTGATCGATGAGAGAAGGGAAAATGTTGAAATTATTCATCGCTAGTGTAAGAACAGATAATTTAGAGCATAGGCGGAACCAGAGAGGGGATGCAGGTGCGCGCACACCCTCCATGAAAGTTTGTTAAATGACCATTGAAACTCTCGTGAAAATGGAGTGTGCACACACACACCCTTTATCAAGTTTATCAAGACTGTGCACCACCCCCCCCACCCCTTTCTCAAAAAGCTGTATCCGCCCCTGTAGCGTATGTAAAATCATATCTGTTGTTTTGGTGAGAAACGACCCATAAATTGGAAAGTGCTATCTCATGTAACGAACCTGAGACTTCCCCTTTGAAAGTAATGACGGCATGCTTGTCGTCACGGGACGATTGTTGTGTTCGGCAGACGACACAGGGCAGGTTTGGATGAGTCCCCAGCTGCCGCCGACCGATCCCCACCCGGTGCAGATGATGCTGCACTCCAAGCGGCACAACAACACCTCGGTACAGGAGTACCAAGTCGTCGGCGATTTCGTCGACTTCACACCAATCCCAACAATCCCCCAAGATGCATTCCTGGTGAGATACGAGCTTTACACCAATCCCAACATTCACCCAAGATGCATTCCTGGTGAGATGCGAACTTTCACGAGAACCAGATATACATGTATGTGAGATAGCATTCACGTGAACAGGATATACATGTATGTGAGATAGCATTCACGTGAACCATATATACATGTATGTGAGACAGCACTCACGTGAACCATATATACATGTATGTGAGACAGCATTCACGTGAACCATATATACATGTATGTGAGACAGCATTCACGTGAACCATATATACATGTATGTGAGATAGCATTCACGTGAACCATATATACATGTATGTGAGACAGCATTCACGTGAACCAGGGGCGTTGGGGTAGCCTAGTGGTTAAAGCTTTCCGCTCGTAACGCCGAAGACCCTGGTTCGATTTTCAATATGGGTACAATGTGTGAAGCCTATTCCTGGTGTCACACCAATCCCAACAATCCCCCAAGATGCATTCCTGGTGAGATACGAGCTTTACACCAATCCCAACATTCACCCAAGATGCATTCCTGGTGAGATGCGAACTTTCACGAGAACCAGATATACATGTATGTGAGATAGCATTCACGTGAACAGGATATACATGTATGTGAGATAGCATTCACGTGAACCATATATACATGTATGTGAGACAGCATTCATGTGAACCATATATACATGTATGTAAGACAGCATTCACGTGAACCATATATACATGTATGTGAGACGGCATTCACGTGAACCATATATACATGTATGTAAGACAGCACTCACGTGAACCATATATACATGTATGTGAGACAGCATTCACGTGAACCATATATACATGTATGTGAGACAGCATTCACGTGAACCATATATACATGTATGTGAGACAGCACTCACGTGAACCATATATACATGTATGTGAGACAGCATTCACGTGAACCAGGGGCGTTGGGGTAGCCTAGTGGTTAAAGCTTTCCGCTCGTAACGCCGAAGACCCTGGTTCGATTTTCAATATGGGTACAATGTGTGAAGCCTATTCCTGGTGTCCACCGCCGTGATATTGCTGGAATATTGCTAAAAGCGGTGTAAAACTAAAGTCACTCACTCATGTGAACCAGGTATGCATGTATATGAGACAGCATTCACGTTAACCAGAAATACGTGTATGTGAGACATCATTAAGGTTAAAGAGGTTTACATTTAAGCTCACACACAAACAATGCTCCATGGCTGTGACGGTATTCACTTGTTCTTCTTGTTACGTTAACACGTGTTCCTGCCACCTGTATCTCCAGACTCCGCCCGGGATCTTCTGTCCAGGCCGTCCACTCATCAGGGAGATGCCACTCATCGCTGACCAGTTCTATATGCTGATGGAGGTCATAGACATGGACTTACAAGAGATCACCTTTATTGAGGTTCGCATCGTTGTTAAGATCATAGTATTTGTTGAGATCATCAGTGAACTGTATAGTGTCTGACAGAATCCAGGAACTCCGCCCACGGAAGCTTTACCCACAGGAACTCTGCCCACCACAATTTTGACAGGGGAGGACCTTTGCCCACAATATATAGTATGACCAGAAATAATTGAGAATTTTAGGAATATGTTTAATTGGATTTCTAGTATTATAAACAACCTTGACCAGCTATCAAATGCTTGGTTTCATTCAAGAGAGACAACTCCGTTAATCCTTTTTCATTAGTTTGTGAAGAGTTATCCCCTTTTGTTTACTTGCTAGCAGACGACATTTTCAGTTATCCTCAGTATGGATGATTTAGAGAAGAGGGAGTTGATTTTAGAGTATTATAACAAGGACATCAGATGAGCTAAAGTGATTTCAAGTAGAACAGGCATCCCTTTGTGCACTGTTTATCGTGTTTTGATAAATATTGCAAATGGATATGGCATTGAGCACCAGGGAGGCGCAGGTAGGCCCAGAAAATTGACTGTCGGTGACAGGAGGTGGCTTAGTATTCTTGTTTCTAAAAACAAACGAAGGAGTTTAGAAAAGTTAGGCTGGACATGATTGATAGAGGAACTGTGGCTGTCTGTAAGGAGACAGTTAGAACTGAGCTGCATGCAATGGGTTGGCAGAAAAGTCGAGGAATTCCATCACCGATCATGAAACCTGAACAAAAGGAGCTAAGGTTGAACTGGTGCGTACTGCATAGAAATATTAACTGGGACAATGTGATTTTCTCAGATGAAAGTTCTGTGTGGCTGTTTCCTAATACACTGAAATTCTGGACCCAACAAACTGAAAAACCTTTGTATCAGCGCCCAAAGTACAGTATGAAATTTAACGCGTGGGTTGGCATATCTGTGTTAGGGGCAACGCCCCTCTGTGTGTTTGAAAGGAAACAGTGAGCGGTACACAGATATTCTCGAGGGACATTTACATCCATCTGCTTACGTGTTCTATGGAAAGTTTTGGACTTTCCAGCAGGACAACGACCCAAAACATCGTTCAAAGCATTCACAGGCCTGGTTTCGGACCCAAAATGTGACATTATTAGATTGGCCAAGCTATAGCCCTGACCTAAATCCAATAGAAAATGTTTGGGGACTTATGAAGGAAAGTGTCAATAAGAAAAATCTGACAAATATTGCTGAAATGAAAGAAGAGGTGGTCCGATATTGGGACAGCATGGACCACGACTTCTTTGACCAGTAGTATGCCCCACCGCATTGAAGCCTGCATTGCTGCCCATATGGTGACTTGACAATATAATAACTGTTCACCCGTCTTTGAATCTGGAGTTATGTTCTGGTAATATTCACATTTAATACGTGAGTAATGAGTGAAAAAAATTAAAAACTTATAATCTTAAATTCTCAATAATTTCTGGTTGTACTGTAAACTTTTGCCTACATTAAGACTCACCTTACTACCCACGCACCTTAATACTCACACAACTGAGGATATATAGTTATAAAAGAGATCAAACATTAATTGCACTTCTTTTTCTCATTACAATTAATACTCATCTTACTACCCACCTCAATGCTAACACTGCTCAGGATATATAGTTTTAAAAGAGATCAAGTATTAAATGCACTTCGCTCTTTTGTACTTCTTTTTTTAATTATCTAATGACCAGATACATTGTTTTGATCATCTGTGATGAGACAGGGAATGTTGTTGACACTTGAGTGAGGAGGTATATTGTTGGAGAGATACCTGTATTTGTGGGCGAACTGTCTCTGTGACGAGACAGGGAATGTTGTTGACACTTGAGTGAGGAGGTATATTGTAGGAGACATACCTGTATTTGTGGGTGCCCTGTCTCTGTGACGAGACAGTGAATTTTGTTGACACTTGAGTGTGGAGGTATATTGTCGGAGACATACCTGTATTTGTGGGTGAACTTTCTCTGTGACGTGACAGGGAATGTTGTTGACACTTGAGTGAGGAGGTATATTGTCGGAGACATACCTGTATTTGTGGGTGGAATGTCTCTGTGACGAGACAGGGAATGTTGTTGACACGTGAGTGTGGAGGTATATTGTTGGAGACATACCTGTATTTGTGGGTGCCCTGTCTCTGTGACGAGACAGGGAATGTTGTTGACACGTGAGTGGAGGTATATTGTTGGAGACATACCTGTATTTGTGGGCGAACTGTCTCTGTGACGAGACAGGGAATGTTGTTGACACGTGAGTGTGGAGGTATATTGTTGGAGACATACCTGTATTTGTTGGTGCCCTGTCTCTGTGACGAGACAGGGAATGTTGTTGACACGTGAGTGGAGGTATATTGTTGGAGACATACCTGTATTTGTGGATGACCTGTCTCTGTGACGAGACAGGGAATGTTGTTGACACGTGAGTGGAGGTATATTGTTGGAGACATACCTGTATTTGTGGGTGACCTGTCTCTGTGACGAGACAGGGAATGTTGTTGACACGTGAGTGGAGGTATATTGTTGGAGACATACCTGTATTTGTGGGTGGAATGTCTCTGTGTTTCAGGTGTGGTTTGACGGCAGCTCCCGCCGAGTACGGCGTGACACCAAAGACTCACTTGGCACCGACCCCAACCCACTTTCTTACATCTATAACTTCGAGACAGGTAGAGCACATGGCCATATATCTACAATACGGTATTAGATGTAGGTTCATTAATTCACACGTTCTCTTGCTTCTCGTCATACATGAATTACATCTGTAATGGTTACAGTAGAAAATGGCATTGCCGAACACATATTTTTTGTAGTTTGTATTCTTGGTGTGTGTGCGTGCGTGGGTGCATGTGTTGCAGGTGCGAGGTATATGGGCATGTGTTATGTTGAGTCACCAGCTGCAGGTGCGTGTACACGTATGTTGCAGGTGCGAGGTATGTGAAGGACAAGTATCTCGGGACGTGTGATGTTGAAGTTATCCGGAGCGGCGATGATTATACGGCTGTCACTGCCGATAATCACATCACTGTAAAAAATATCTCGGAGGTGTTCCATTACGACAACGCGACAATTCAGTATGTAGGGGAGGTAAGAATTACATTTATATATAATTATTATATTTATGATATCTAACGTTTTTGCGGATTTATTCCTTGTGCCATGATAATTGTCAATCATACATCCCAGCACAGCGGAATTGTTCAGCTACAAGGCTGTTGTGGTTGGTATGGGATCACATGCGGGTCGACGTTTTGGGATATTTCTTTTGATGATGTAGGCTGTATGTCTTTAAAGATACGTTTCGTGATCTCACATAGCCAAACTCAAAGACACCCTATTTCAAGACAGCACTGTCTCATGTGCAGCCTTTCTTTCACAAGTGCTGACTAGGCAAAATCCAACATTTTAACTTTGCTTCTGTCAGAACACCAGAATTACTAATCAGCCAGTTGTCTTAATGTAGATGTTTTTTTGTTTTTTTTTGTTTGTTTGTTGTTTGTTTGTGTATGTTATTTTTTCTTGTTTGTTTTGTGTTTTGTTTTTTGTTGTTTTTTTTTTTTGTTTTTTTGGTGGGGTGGGTGGGGAGTTCTGCATGTTGTGTAGGACATTTCTGCTCGGGTTCACCTTCAGCCCACCTCAAGTTGATATATAGTAGATCAGTGTATTTCATATTGATATCTATGCATAACGATTCAGTAAGAAAAGCACCCCAGAAGGGTGTATGACAAGAGGTATGACTCTTATAACGTTCCAATTATGTCGACCAATATTTGAACAGCTCCAACACTTGGCATTTACATTTCACAACTTTTCATGTGCCAACAAAGTCAAGATTTCAAAGAGCATCATATAACTCTTTCTCAGATGTTGTTCGATCAAGGTTCAACATTCAAGGCCTCAATAGGTGATAAGTAATGGGAGACATGAGGAGGACATTTCCATTTCAAAATTGTGACAAAAATTATGTCCATGCATTTCTTTTTCAGTTGAGCAGAATGTGCTTTCTCTTTCGTGGACACCTTGTATCATCACTTTTTGATTGTGATTCATGTACACTTGTTCATGATATTGTTGGAATTGTAAGATCAACTCTGCTTTTGCACAGAATTTTCTTAGGTCCTGTATAGGGTTTCGATGTTTTTGATGTTAAAATCTTGTTAGACTTATCTGGGCAAAGTTTATGGACATAATAGCTGGGATCATTCTAGTCTGTCTCACAGTCCCTGAACCACATTAATTTCCCTACTGCCAAGCCCTCTCTGCAGTGCTCAAGCCCTAAATAAAGCAAGTCTAGATTTCCTCAGGTTCTGAATCTCTGGTCTCCTTAGGGCTCCTTTTCAATATAAATTGGCTTGTTTGTTACTATCAAAATTATATATATTCAGAGACTAAGCCTTAGTCTAGGATCATTCATACAAAGTTCCATCTCCATTGGCATTTCTGTGGTAGTTTCTGAGGCAATGTTGAAAAGTTAATGATGGCCCTCAAATTGTCAGGATGAACGATGAAATCCACATCTTGACATAAGCTCTGCTGACTTTCCACTCACGAGTGGCAAACTTGAGCAACTGTCCAACACATGCAATTTCCACTTAATCAACCATTCCCAGGTATTTCATGTTATAGATGTCTCGCATGTATGTGAGGAAGTGTAAGTATTCTCTAGTGTTATAGGCTGATAGCAACCTGTCACGTGCTCTGCTGCAGATGACGACCCGAGGCACGCTATGTGACGTGTGGATCGGGGTCTACTTTGACATAGACTCCAACATCAACGCCACTGTACAGTGGTACTTCACGAAGGTAAAACCATTCCCGAGAGCCAATCGTGCCCCCAGTACTCACTTGGTATCCACTAGTCTCCCTTAAGGCTACCCCCGTGGAGATTCCGTGTAGGAATTCGTCCCAAGTATACAGTACTGGTCGTAGGAGACAACTAATTGCATAAGGTGCCAGTGACGTGTTTGACAGCGTGTTGCACCATATTGATGGCGTATTACGATGCCCGTAATGCAGCTTTTGTCTGAGTCGATCATATATAGGCTGACGTCCTATAGTTGGCATTGTTGGAGTTTATCGTTAAATATCCCAAAACAAACACATTATAAACTTATCACAATTCAAGTGAACCTGCATTGCTTTCATGCATGCTGTGCGTGTATTGATGTATAACATTTTGCAATGCAGTATAGGCGCATCACAACCCGCATAAATCTTATAGACAAGTGATAACTTCTTGGTAGATGTATCCCATGACCTCTTGTTACAGGAAGGCTGGACACAGGCTGTCGGGACCGTTCTGTCATCCAACAATTTCTACCGAATGGATTTATGGAGGGTAAGAATGGACAATAGATCCACCTGTGTAAGTCCCTACCGAATGGATTTATGGAGGGTAAGAATGGACAATAGATCCACCTGTGTAAGTCTCTACCGAATGGACTCATGGAGGGTAAGAATGGACAATAGATCCACCTGTGTAAGTCTCTACCGAATGGATTTATGGAAGTAAGAATGGACAATAGATCCACCTGTGTAAGTCTCTACCGAATGGACTCATGGAGGTAAGAATGGACAATAGATCCACCTGTGTAAGTCTCTACCGAATGGACTCATGAAGGAAGGAATGGACAATAGGTCCACCTGTGTAATTCTCTACCGAATGGACTCATGGAGGTAAGAATGGACATTAGATCCATCTGTGTAAGTCTCTACCGAATGGACCCATGGAGGTAAGAATGGACATTAGATCCACCTGTGTAAGTCTCTACCGAATGGACTCATGGAGGTAAGAATGGACAATAGATCCACCTGTGTAAGTCTCTACCGAATGGACTCATGGAGGTAAGAATGGACAATAGGAGGTAATCCCACCTGTGTAATTCTCTGTGTAATTCTCCCGAATGGACTCATGGAGGTAAATGGACAATAGAACCCTGGACAATAGGTCCACCTGTGTAATTCTCTGCCGAATGGACTCATGGAGGTAAGAATGGACAATAGATCCACCTGTGTGGAGGTAAATCTCTACCGAATGGACTCATGGAGGTAAGAATGGACAATAGGTCCACCTGTGTAATCCACCTGTGTGGACAATAGGTCCACCTGTGTAATTCTCTACCGAATGGACTCATGGAGGTAAGAATGGACAATAGGTCCACCTGTGTAATTCTCTGCCGAATGGACTCATGGAGGTAAGAATGGACAATAGATCCACCTGTGTAAGTCTCTACCGAATGGACTCATGGAGGTAGGAATGGACAATAGATCCACCTGTGTAATTCTCTGCCGAATGGACTCATAGAGGTAAGAACGGACAATAGATCCACCTGTGTAATTCTCTACCGAATGGACTCATGGAGGTAAGAATGGACAATAGGTCCACCTGTGTACGTCTCTACCGAATGGACTCATGGAGGTAGGAATGGACAATAGATCCACCTGTGTAAGTCTCTACCGAATGGACAGTAGATCACCTCTGTACCCTGCTAAAAGAGTGCGGAGTAAAACTAAGCTCACTCCCTCACTAACTTCCTGGTAAATTGTTTCAGAAAGGTGTTTCCAGGTGTATCGTTCTCCAAGTGTATAGTTCTCCTGGTGTATAGTTTCCCAAGTGTATAGTTCTCCAGGCGTATAGTTCTCCAGTTGTATAGTTCTCCAAGTGTATAGTTCGCCAGGTGTATAGTTCTCAAAGTGTATAGTGCTCCAGGTGTATAGTTCTCCAGGTGTATAGTTCTCCAGGTGCATAGTTCTCCAAGTGAATAGTTCTCCAGGTGTATAGTTCTCCAGGTGTATAGTTCTCCAAGTGTATAGTTCTCAAAGTGAATAGTTTTCCAGGTGTATAGTTCTCAAAGTGAATTATTCTCCAGGTGTATAGTTCTCCAGATGTATAGTTCTCCAGGTGTATGGTTCTGTAGCTGTGTAGATCTCCAAGTGTATAGTTATCCAGGTGTATAGTTCTGTAGGTGTGTAGATCTCCAGGTATATAGTTCTCCAGGTGTATAGTTCTTGAAGTGTATAGTTCTCCATGTGTATAGTTCTCCAGGTGTATAGTTCTCCAGATGTATAGTTCTCCAGATGTATAGTTCTCCAGGTGTATAGTTCTGTAGGTGTGTAGATCTCCAGGTGTATAGTTCTCCAGGTGTATAGTTCTCCAGGTGTATAGTTCTCCAGGTGTATAGTTCTCCAAGTGTATAGTTCTGTAGGTGTATAGTTCTCCAGGTGTATAGTTCTGTAGGTGTATATATCTCCAGGTGTATAGTTCTCCCGGTGCACGGAATCCAACTGACACACCGTGTATCACCGTGTGATGTTATATGTCGTTACAGGGTGGGTCCACGAACCCCGTCGTCTACAACATCCTCAAGTACACGCCTGTGGCCCAGCACTGGTCGGCGTTCGACTGCGGCGAGTGTTACAAGTATAACAGTAAAATACACTTCGTCGTACAACTCCTCGGTAAGTGTACACGTTGCCACGTATAAGGTAGGCTTCATCTCTTAAACACCGCTTGCTAGTCAAACTCACTCACTCACTCAAACTGACAACGGACACAGTAGAGTGAGTTGAGTGAGAACAATGTTTAGGTTATGCACACTTCACAGGGTGATAATGAGAATATTGGACTCAATTAACTGCGGCAAAAACAATACAAATATAATATTTCTTTCCAAAACGTCAGCTTTAGCACGAAAATTTTACTTTTCCCCTTGTTTTAGAAGTGTTTGAAGACTCGCCAAAACGTCACTAAGAAAACATGTAAAGCATAATGCACGTGCAAGTAAGTGGAAAAGCATGCGGTATCGATCAGGCAAACGCTGTGATTAAGTTTGCCATTCGTTTTCGCCTGGAAAAGAGGAAAACATCATGCCACGACTGAGTGCCGCCAATCGAAACATCGCCATAGGCCGCCTTGAAGCTGGGGACTCGCAGTCTGCAGTTGCCCGACATTTCAACGTTCATCAGAGCACCATATCTCGCCTTTGGGATTGTTTCCTGCAAACCAATTCCGCCCAATATCGCCCGAAAAGCGGCCGTCCAGGAGTTAACACCCGAGACAAGGACCGCTACACCCGGGGTGCTCACTTGCGTCATCGTCTTGCCACATCCGCTGAGACTGCACAACGCATCCCTGGTTTGAGAAGAATTTCCGACCAAACTGTCAGGAATCAATTGCGTGAGGTGGGGATTGGACCAAGAAGGCCAGTTGTCGCCCCCGTTTTGAGAGAATTCCATCTGGAAATGGAGCCTTAGAAATTAGAATCGAGTCTGGTTCAGTGATAAATCACGATTTCTTCTTCACCGGCGACCTGAAAGACAACTATGTTTGCCATCGGAGAATATTTTGCCCCTAAATGCATTCGACAGGTCGACAGATTCGGTGGAGCAAGTGTCATGGTGTGGGGTGGGATATCCAATCCACAAAGATCTGATTTAGTGGTGGTTCAGGGGAATCTGACAGCAAAACGGTACATCAACAAGTCCTTGCACGTCACATGCTTCCGATTATGGACCGACAGAGGGAGTTGTTCCAGCATGACAACGCTACTTCACATACATCACGCGGCACGGTCCGCTACCTTGCCATTTCTAACGTCAATGTCTTGCCATGGCCTTCCCTATCACCAGACCTAAACCCGATAGAACACCTACGTCAGCGTCAAAACACGCCTCAGACGTGTGAATTTTCACCTTTTTACCATTGATATTACATAATAGCTCTTAAAAGAATGCAATTGATTCTTTTAAAAATGGCTTATACGTTTCTTTTTTGAAGAGTCTATCTCATGGCATGAGCAAGGTGAAAAATGAACTCCCGAAACTTCGCACAGTTAGGTAAATCCCGCGAGCATCTGCATCGTAGAATGCATGCCGGCATCTCGGAATATACAACAGATTTTTTCATGTTTCTTCAGGAAGGTGGATGTCCTGAGACACCCGGTCACACTGACTACAGGTCGAGGGTGGCCATCATCAGACCCGGGGTTCTGCATCCTTTGGTGCTTTCGCCACATGAAGTGACCCCTCTGTGTTATATCTGAAATGCAGCCACTGACATTCAAATATATGTCTCACTTACTCACTCACTCACGTTTCTACCTTTCTTCTTCAGCTATGGACAGCTTCACCCAGCACAAAGTGAGCGAGTCCTACTTGTATGACAAAATGCAGGATGAGCTGACTAACCTCATCTACGAGGAAGCCAACCGAATGTCGAACCTCCAGGTACATGATGAATGTATAGCAGATATACACACAGGTGTATTTGAAGTTTGAATTACCTGTTGTAACTTGCACACAAGGAGATCGGTTCCGTTATTTCCGATAAGGTCTGTCTGTGTATGCCTGACACTATATATGATACCTGCGACAGGCGTTAAGACTGTAACATTGAAACAATCATCTCATTTTCGTGTTGTTGGTGGTTAGAATGACATTTCTTGAAGAGTGTATGGCATCGCTAGACAGATGAGCTATAATAGCAGTAGGACACCGATATATATCGGCTTCTAAACACCGTCAAGTTTACGAATGACATCCGCCACTCTACCATGCATGTGTGTTTGGTGTATGATGTAAATACTTCTACACTGTCTAGTTGGTGTATGGTGTGGATAGTTCTACCCTGTCCTACTGGTGTATGATGTGGATACTTCTACTCTGTCTAGTTGGTGTATAGTGTGGCTAGTTTTACTCTGTCCTACTGGTGTATGGTGTGGGTACTTCTACACTGTCTAGTTGGTGTATGGTGTGGATAGTTCTACCCTGTCCTACTGGTGTATGATGTGGATACTTCTACTCTGTCTAGTTGGTGTATAGTGTGGCTAGTTTTACTCTGTCCTACTGGTGTATGGTGTGGATACTTCTACACTGTCTAGTTGGTGTAAGATGTGGCTAGTTTTACCCTGTCCTACTGGTGTATGGTGTGGATACTTCTATCCTGTCTAGTTGGTGTAAGGTGTGGCTAGTTTTACCCTGTCCTACTGGTGTATGGTGTGGCTACTTCTACACTGTCTAGTTGGTGTAAGGTGTGGCTAGTTTTACCCTGTCCTACTGGTGTATGGTGTGGATACTTCTACCCTGTCTACTGGTTGGTGTATACTTCTCACCTGTGTGGCTAGTTTTACCCTGTCCTACTGGTGTATGGTGTGGCTAGTTTTACCCTGTCCTACTTGGTGTATGGTGTGGATACTTTTACCCTCCCACTGTCTAGTTGGTGTGTCCCTACTGGTGTGGCTAGTTTTACCCTGTCTAGTTGGTGTAAGGTGTGACTAGTTTTACCCTGTCCTACTGGTGTATGGTGTGGATACTTCTACCCTGTCTAGTTGGTGTAAGGTGTGGCTAGTTTTGTGGATACCTACTGTCCTACTGGTGTATGGTGTGGATGGTGTTCTTCTACCCTGTCTAGTTGGTGTATGGTGTGGCTAGTTTTACCCTGTCCTACTGGTGTATGGTGTGGATACTTCTACTGTCCTGTTGGTGTAGGTGTGGTAGTTTTACCCCTGTCCCACTGGTGTATGGTGTGGATACTTCTACCCTGTCTAGTTGGTGTAAGGTGTGGCTAGTTTTACCCTGTCCTACTGGTGTATGGTGTGGATACTTCTACCCTGTCTAGTTGGTGTAAGGTAGTGGCTAGTTTTACCCTGTCCTACTGGTGTATGGTGTGGATACTTCTACCCTGTCTAGTTGGTGTAAGGTGTGGCTAGTTTTACCCTGTCCTACTGGTGTATGGTGTCCTACTTCTACCCTGTCTAGTTGGTGTATGGGTGTGACTAGTTTTACCCCCTGTCCCACTGGTGTATGTGTGTATACTTCTACTCTGTCTAGTTAGTTGGTGTAAGGTGTGACTAGTTTTACCCTGTCCTACTGGTGTATGGTGTGGATACTTCTACCCTGTCTAGTTGGTGTAAGGTGTGGCTAGTTTTACCCTGTCCTACTGGTGTATGGTGTGGATACTTCTACCCTGTCTAGTTGGTGTAAGGTGTGGCTAGTTTTACCCTGTCCTACTGGTGTATGGTGTGGATACTTCTACCCTGTCTAGTTGGTGTAAGGTGTGGCTAGTTTTACCCTGTCCTACTGGTGTATGGTGTGGATACTTCTACCCTGTCTAGTTGGTGTAAGGTGTGGCTAGTTTTACCCTGTCCTACTGGTGTATGGTGTGGATACTTCTACCCTGTCTAGTTGGTGTAAGGTGTGGCTAGTTTTACCCTGTCCTACTGGTGTATGGTGTGGATACTTCTACCCTGTCTAGTTGGTGTATGGTGTGGCTAGTTTTACCCCTGTCCTACTGGTGTATGGTGTGGATACTTCTACTGTCTGTCTAGTTGGTGTAAGGTGTGGTGGCTAGTTTTACCCTGTCCTACTGGTGTATGGTGTGGATACTTCTACCCTGTCTAGTTGGTGTAAGGTGTCCTAGTTTTACCCTGTCCTACTGGTGTATGGTGTGGATACTTCTACCCTGTCTAGTTGGTGTAAGGTGTGGCTAGTTTTACCCCTGTCCCACTGATGTATGGTGTAAGGTGTGGCTATTTACTCCCTACTGGTGTATGGTGTGCTACCCCCTGTCTAGTTGGTGTAAGGTGTGGCTAGTTTTACCCTGTCCTACTGGTGTATGGTGTGGATACTTCTACCCTGTCTAGTTGGTGTAAGGTGTGGCTAGTTTTACCCTGTCCTACTGGTGTATGGTGTGGATACTTCTACCCTGTCTAGTTGGTGTAAGGTGTGGATACTTCACCCTGTTTTACCCTGTCCTACTGGTGTATGGTGTGGATACTTCTACCCTGTCTAGTTGGTGTAAGGTGTGGCTAGTTTTACCCTGTCCTACTGGTGTATGGTGTGGATACTTCTACCCTGTCTAGTTGGTGTAAGGTGTGGCTAGTTTTACCCTGTCCTACTGGTGTATGGTGTGGATACTTCTACCCTGTCTAGTTGGTGTAAGGTGTGACTAGTTTTACCCTGTCCTACTGGTGTATGGTGTGGATACTTCTACCCTGTCTAGTTGGTGTAAGGTGTGGCTAGTTTTACCCTGTCCTACTGGTGTATGGTGTGGATACTTCTACCCTGTCTAGTTGGTGTAAGGTGTGGCTAGTTTTACCCTGTCCTACTGGTGTATGGTGTGGATACTTCTACCTGTCTAGTTGGTGTAAGGTGTGACTAGTTTTACCCTGTCCTACTGGTGTGTATGTGGCTGTGTCCCACTGGTGTATGGTGTGGATACTTCTACCCTGTCTAGTTGGTGTAAGGTGTGGCTAGTTTTACCCTGTCCTACTGGTGTATGGTGTGGATACTTCTACCCTGTCTAGTTGGTGTAAGGTGTGGCTAGTTTTACCCTGTCCTACTGGTGTATGGTGTGGATACTTCTACCCTGTCTAGTTGGTGTAAGGTGTGGCTAGTTTTACCCTGGTCTACTGGTGTATGGTGTGGCTAGTTTTACCCTGTCCTACTGGTGTATGGTGTGGATACTTCTACCCTGTCTAGTTGGTGTAAGGTGTGGCTAGTTTTACCCTGTCCTACTGGTGTATGGTGTGGATACTTCTACCCTGTCTAGTTGGTGTAAGGTGTGGCTAGTTTTACCCTGTCCTACTGGTGTATGGTGTGGATACTTCTACCCTGTCTAGTTTGTGTAAGGTGTGACTAGTTTTACCCTGTCCTACTGGTGTATGGTGTGGATACTTCTACTCTGTCTAGTTGGTGTAAGGTGTGACTAGTTTTACCCTGTCCTACTGGTGTATGGTGTGGATACTTCTACCCTGTCTAGTTGGTGTAAGGTGTGACTAGTTTTACCCTGTCCTACTGGTGTATGGTGTGGATACTTCTACCCTGTCTAGTTGGTGTAAGGTGTGGCTAGTTTTACCCTGTCCTACTGGTGTATGGTGTGGATACTTCTACCCTGTCTAGTTGGTGTAAGGTGTGGCTAGTTTTACCCTGTCCTACTGGTGTATGGTGTGGATACTTCTACCCTGTCTAGTTGGTGTAAGGTGTGACTAGTTTTACCCTGTCCTACTGGTGTATGGTGTGGATACTTCTACTCTGTCTTGTTGGTGTAAGGTGTGGCTAGTTTTACCCTGTCCTACTGGTGTATGGTGTGGATACTTCTACCCTGTCTAGTTGGTGTAAGGTGTGGCTAGTTTTACCCTGTCCTACTGGTGTATGGTGTGGATACTTCTACCCTGTCTAGTTGGTGTAAGGTGTGGCTAGTTTTACCCTGTCCTACTGGTGTATGGTGTGGATACTTCTACCCTGTCTAGTTGGTGTAAGGTGTGGCTAGTTTTACCCTGTCCTACTGGTGTATGGTGTGGATACTTCTACCCTGTCTAGTTGGTGTATGGTGTGGCTAGTTTTACCCTGTCCTACTGGTGTATGGTGTGGATACTTCTACCCTGTCTAGTTGGTGTAAGTAGTGGCTAGTTTTACTCTGTCCTACTGGTGTATGGTGTGGATACTTCTACCCTGTCTAGTTGGTGTAAGGTGTGACTTGTTTTACCCTGTCCTACTGGTGTATGGTGTAGATACTTCTACTCTGTCTAGTTCCCACTGTGTAAGGTGTGACTAGTTTTACCCTGTCCTACTGGTGTATGGTGTGGATACTTCTACCCTGTCTAGTTGGTGTAAGGTGTGACTAGTTTTACCCTGTCCTACTGGTGTATGGTGTGGATACTTCCCTACCCTGTCTAGTTGGTGTAAGGTGTGGCTAGTTTTACCCTGTCCTACTGGTGTATGGTGTGGATACTTCTACCCTGTCTAGTTGGTGTAAGGTGTGGCTAGTTTTACCCTGTCCTACTGGTGTATGGTGTGGATACTTCTACCCTGTCTAGTTGGTGTATGGTGTGGCTAGTTTTACCCTGTCCTACTGGTGTATGGTGTGGATACTTCTACCCTGTCTAGTTGGTGTAAGTAGTGGCTAGTTTTACCCTGTCCTACTGGTGTATGGTGTGGATACTTCTACCCTGTCTAGTTGGTGTAAGGTGTGGCTAGTTTTACCCTGTCCTACTGGTGTATGGTGTGGATACTTCTACCCTGTCTAGTTGGTGTAAGGTGTGGCTAGTTTTACCCTGTCCTACTGGTGTATGGTGTGGATACTTCTACCCTGTCTAGTTGGTGTAAGGTGTGGCTAGTTTTACCCTGTCCTACTGGTGTATGGTGTGGATACTTCTACCCTGTCTAGTTGGTGTAAGGTGTGGCTAGTTTTACCCTGTCCTACTGGTGTATGGTGTGGATACTTCTAC